AGGGGATGTGAGGATGACTTAGATAAACCCGCCAAAAAATTCCTTGTCGAGTCACGAATGACCGCCCCTATACCACCAATGAGGCAAGTAGCATCCCAGGCACCATCACTATGAGACTCTCATTCTACATTCTCCCTTCTTTTTACGATCTTGAATCGTTGCTTGATAATGAAACCCGTTTATCCGAAATCATTTAACAATTTTATTCACATTGTCATAATTTCAATATTTAACTAAAAGTGTGGTTCGTTATAATCTACTAAATAACAATATCATATGATCGCTAAAATGCGACAAAGAAAATAGACCGTTCGAATCAAGTAGCAATGCAAGTTTAGAAGGGAAAAAGAGGAGGTTGAACGACTAGAAAATTTCCAAAAATCCAATTTGATATGAAAATCTCCCGGTACAATTGCCCACAATTATTCAAAAGTAATGTCAAGTAAAGCAAACCCCCAAAAAATTCTCTATAAAAATTAAGGAGGCAAAAATCATCATGTAAAATGACTATTCTATCCCCTCTCTCTCTGTCTGTGGTTCTGTTTCAGTTCCCACTGCCTGCCATTTGGTTCTCTGGTACTTCCTGCAATGCAGTTCTTGGCTTCTCTACCGTCTTATCTTCTGTCTTGATCTTTAATTGACTTTTCAGCATTTTCCTTAACTGCCTTAGACTCTTGGCCTCCAATTCACTCTCCCCGCTATCCTTGCCAGTGGCATCCGCGTCTCTCTTGATCTCAACTCCTCCATTGTCATTGCCATCATCAATGTTCTCCTCATTGTCATCAAAGATGCAGCTCGTGACTTCTGATCGCTTCTTGCTTGGAGACTTCCCGGGTTTTGAGAAAGTTGGACGGGGAAACTGAAGCGAAAGCTGCTCAGCTTCCAAGGGTGGCAGTGTTGGAGCCTTGTCCAAAGCTGGAGCCCCTTTTACACAAACATCAACTTCAGAGTTATTGATCTCTTGCACATTTGCCACGGCAACGACTTCTGCGACTTCATTCCCATTGTTAGCATCAACCAAACTTCCTTCACCAAATTCTTCTCCTTCCTCAGTGATGTCATCATCAGAACCTTCTTCGGTCATGGATTCCGTTTTCGAAGATTCAAATTCCTCACACTCAACTAAGTTTTCATCCGTGGCTTCATCTTCACTAAATACTCCTTCAGTGGAGTCTGATTCAATATCTCCATCCTTGACAGAGTCTGATTCAAAATCGAATTTCTCGTTATAATCAGCCTCTGGCACTGAGTCCTTGCCACTAAGCATAGGCTGCTGTTCACCAGACAAGCTCAGAGTCAATGCCTTAGGCTTAGCAGCTTCTTCTACATTAGCCACATCCTTAACTTCTTCAGTCTCCCCAGCAGCAGATTTCGAGTCAGAACCGTCATTCTCAAGATTTTGATCCTCCACCGTAGTGATATTATCTTCCGGGTTCTCAGCAGCAATAAAATGGTCCATGTCCTCAGCAGAAATATCATCAGAAACTTTAGCAGCCAAACAATTTTCAGTTCCTTCATCATTAGGTTCTGCAGCAACCACAAGTAGATTCAAATAAGTAAAACGACATGGAACCCTGAATTTTGAATTGAGAACCATAAAGTCAAATGCACAAATATCTTGGCCATAACAAAATGTCATTAAACTTACTCTTGTCATATGCTGCATCCATTACTTCTGAAACCACAATGTCATCTGAGGTTGACTTTGATTCATATACCTCAGATTCCGCTTCGGATTTCTGCTCGAAATCATCTACTTCAATCACATCAGCCTTGCTATTTTCCTCCACATCACCTTTCAACTGCCCTTCATTCTCCAGTGAAACTTCAGAAACATCAACTCTCTCTGAGCTCGCCTCCGATACCGTCTGCATACTAGACCCTGTTCCATGCCAACAAACTATGTCAGATAACATGATTTTCCATCCAACTATATTTCTGAGAAACAATACATTTAGTTGACAAAAATGACAAATTACAAGTAACGAAAACTTGATATGCAAATGAGGAATGGACTTACCCTCATCAACTGAGCAATCATCAGTCTTCTCCGAATCATTGTTCATTTCTGTGGAAAGTTCATTCATCTTAAGAGGCATAGTGTTTTCATACCCCAAGCTCAAGCTAGCCATGGTCTTTTCCAGCAGCCTCACGGATCGCCTAGTGTTATACACGCTCTTCTGCACCGAAGATGTCTCCTTCTGGGTCTCCATCTTCTGGCAAGCGGAAGTGGCAGGAGCCCTTCTCCGGGTGCTTGGTGCAGCGGGAGTCTTAGGCACCACCTCAGTCTTTTCCTGGTCCACCACCTCTTCAGCAACTTCTCGCCTTGTCCCACGGCGACTGCGGGTCAATGTCTGTGAACTTTCTGGCTCTTCAATGATCGGCTTTCTTCGAACGGAGGTTCTTCCAGCAGTACGAGGGATACTTAATGAACCGTTCATTGTTTTCTGTGGAGATTGATTCAGCAACTCTTCAATTCCTTCCACCTGACATTTTAATTAGCACAACAGTCAGATTGAATGAGAGAGAATTTCAGCCATTCTGTTTGGCTGCAAAGAAAATACTTGAATATAAAATCAAATATTTAGACGTTGTTTTCTGATTGGAAATAGGATCAAATCAGCTGTATATTGATTTACATAAAAAACAAGCCTGTGATTCCCAGCTAACAAACAGAACAGGATTTCGTAGATTGATTCCCCAATTTAATTTTCTTATAAAATTACGATTCAGCTCAAGATGATTATATAGAATTGAATCAGAGGAAAAAGTAGTCAATATCGCTTCCATTTCCCCTTTCCGGTCATTTTCTCACCAACCAAACACAAAATAATGTAGAAAATGCTATCTACAATCCAAATTAAATAGAACAGCAATCTCCAGCAGATTTGAATCTGGAAATGTACCGATCTCAGAGATTTCACTTTTCACATATCAATTTTCTCCGGATCCAAACGGATACAAACTTAAAACATATTTTCTATCAAATCGGGAAAAGAAAATGGGGGATAAGAGCATTACGAGTTCGAGATTCTTGAGAGAATCAGCCATGGCGACATTGGTGAGGTTGGCTGGGAGTTTGTTCCTCTTGCACAGAGTCTGGAGCTCTCTTCTGGAAAGGGTGGAGAAATCCATGGCGGTGCGGAAACCCTAGATGATCAAAACAAGCTGTTTTGGTCTTTGAAAGAGAGACGGCTACAAGATTGAGAGTGAAGGATGTAGAAGCGTTGGAGAAAACAAGTGAGCAATTGGGGATATTTATACAATGAGAGACGTTTGGACAACCCTAGAAATTGTGACCGTTAGAGCGCGGATTTGAAATTTGAAATTTGTTTATTATATTTTTTATTAGGTACGTGAATCGTATCCTTGCGCCGCATAGAGAGGGTAAGTTTTCACGTAGTGACGGGAAAATGGTCAAAACTTAAGTATGATAAATTCGACCAATGAAAGAAAAAATTATGACAAATTCGTATTTGTTAAATATATCGTTGTATGAAAAAAGGAATTAACATGGTAAATGAATCGTGTTCATATTACATTGACACTAATTTAAATATGAATTCATATTAGGATTAATAATCAATTTACAATATCGTATCTTTGAAAAAAATTATTGTTGAATTTCTTCAAAGACGTAGAAAAAACATAATTAAGTCGGAAATAATCTCATCGTAATAACTTTTTTGTTAAGTTAACGAATCATCTAATTATAAAATTCAGTGCATCAATTCATCGTCTATTGATCATATTAGGTTGGATCAAAATTCGATGTTTAAATGTGTAGAATTAACAAAATGATAAAATTCCACCTAATCAATAATTAATCGAGTGTTTATTAGATAAAACAATATATTTGCACTAAGAAGTTGGAGAGCGTTGAGTGTTTATTTTTTATACAAATAAAAACGTCACTCATCTCATGTATCATGCCAAATAAACAATTTTCTAAATTTATTATTATAAAGAGGAGATGGAGAGTTCGAAACTATTATAATAATTTAGAAGAGGGGTGAAGTAAGTTTCGAACTCAAGACGCATAGATAGAAACCCAACACTCTATCTACTAGGATATTGGACCACATGCCCACACAAACTTATAACATTGTGCAATAGTGTGACATAGGTCAAATTTTTTCCATTCCAAAATCTTCACTATGTTATTTTTTCCTTACTTATTAAACATCGACATCCAATCAAAGCAACTCATCCAGAAACACATAATATTTCTTGAGCAATAATAATGAGGTTCCTTGGGTGACATGCTCAAGAAGAATTTTTTGTTTGGGTCAGTTGGGCCTAGAATGTTATTGGGTTTAGAAGTTGTAAAAATAGAAGCCCACACATCTAACCGTCCACGTCTTCGAGATAAAATAGCTTTTGGCACCACGGGACCAAAACTCGTCCGATTTCCGCGTGGTAATTATTTGGCATATTTGTCGATAAGCCCTGAACTTGTATGATACTGCTAATTTTCACCAGAATTTTAATTTTAACTTAATTAATTTTTCTCTTGAATTTTAATTTTAACCAATTATCCAATTGAACTTTAATAAATAGCCATCTCGCTCTGCCGTTATATTTTAAAAAATTTCATCTAATTTTCTATCCATTTTGATTACAAAAACAACATATGAAAACTGTATGACGGCAAAAAAGATAAAAAACTGAATGAACAATTTTAAAATATAATAAGGGGAAATTGATTATTTATAAAAGTTCAGGGGAGTAATTAGTTAAAAGTTAAATTCATATAAAAATTTAGAGATAATTAGTTAAAATTAAAATTCAGTGAAAAAATTAACAATTATGTACAAATTTAGAGAATAAACCGACAAATATGCCTGATTATTTATCCCCCCACAGACTGAGACCACAACGACACAGACCCACTGTTTGCTTGCTTAAGCCAGCCCACCTTCTTCAACCGAACCATCCAATATTATAATATTTTTTTTATATAATTTTTCCAATTTTATATAATTTTTTATTTTTTACAGAGAGAAAAGAAACAAGAAGGCCGGAAAAAACAAATAAAATAAGACACAAAAATGAAAAATCCCCAATTCTGAATGGAAACCCTAGCCCTAGCCCTAACCCGAATCCCTCAAATTGGACCCTCCACTTTCGTAATTCTTCGGATCTTCCTTCCCCCACTGCTCTTTGCTGGAGGCTGAGCTCAGCTCCGACTTCCTCCATTGTTCGCCGACCGAGAGAACTACAGAGAGAAAGGAGAGAGTGTGTGGTGCATGCGTTTATGTGTGTTATGGATAGTACGGATTCAGGTGCGGGCGAGTTCAGTGTAGGATCGATCGTCTGGGTGAGGCGGAGGAACGGGTCGTGGTGGCCGGGGAAGATAGTGGGCCCGGAAGAGCTCTCCACTTCGCATCTCACGTCGCCTCGCTCTGGGACCCCCGTCAAGCTCCTAGGCAGAGAGGACGCCAGTGTGTATGTCTCTCATTTTTTCCCCTTTTCAGTATGTACTTGTTAGTTTTAGCACTTTGGGTTGTGGTTAGATGTTTATCCAGAAATTAGAAAAATAATAAAGTTTAGTGAGTATATTATCATGTTTTGTTGTATGAATGAGCCGAAAAATTGCGCTTTTATCTGTTTTACTTGAACAAATCACAACATATTGGAGCAGAAGTAGAAATCCATATCAGAGAAATACTGCAACTTTGTGGCCAACCAAGTTTGTAGGGATAAAAGACACTGAAGATGAGATATGTATGGAAAATATTTGGTTAGACTACTCTTCTTGATCAAATGCAATGTTAAATGCCAGGACTGAAACCCTATTCTATGCATACCTTTAGATACACCTTGTCATGAAATACTTTGGTTATTTCTCAAAGGATAAAGAACCAAGCCCCGAAAATTCTGTATCTTTCATATTTTCATGATGATGTTGTTGTTGTTGTTGTTAAGGTATATCTTTATGTTGAGAATTTATTTGTTAGTCGGTGAGTGTTTGGAGAACGGTAAAATCATGAGAGCAGTGGAATTCTCAGAGACATTGTACTAGTACCATGGAGTCCCCTGTCATTATTTCCATGCCAACTTAATGAGTGTTCAATGTACATACAATTGGTTGTCATGTAGAACTATTTTGCAGAATCCTTCAAATGGTTCTGGCCTCCAGAGAATGATTACATACTGCTGACTCTTTTGGCCTTATCTACCTAGCGGAAAATTTCGTTACAAATTAGTTAAGATGGATTTCATTAACTATGTTATTCTCGCAGAATAGTCTAATTCAAACTGGAGTCTGTTCATACTTGCTGGTTCTTGTACTCTCATGCCTTCTTTGATTTTATGGTTTTACCTACTGTTATAGTAATGATATTCAGTGGTATTTCTTTTCAGTGACTGGTACAATTTGGAAAAATCGAAGCGTGTTAAGGCATTTCGATGCGGTGAGTTTGATGATTGTATTGAGAAGGCTGAATCAGCGCAGGGTATGCCTATAAAGAAAAGAGAGAAATATGCACGTCGAGAAGATGCTATTCTTCATGCGCTTGAACTTGAGAAGCAGCTATTGAAGAAACAAGGAAAGTTAGGTATAAATTCTGAACGCTTGAACAGTAAGTTATCTGGTGTTGTGAAAAAGGAGTTAGTTATATCTTCCGAGAGTTTGGGAATTGACAATGTAAAACTTGGAAATTCCAAGTCACATACATCTCATAGAAACGACATTATAGGCAGTCCTATGTCTTTTGAAAGAGTCAAAGAGGGGATTCAACCGAGTGGTGATGATGATCATTCTGAAGTCATGCCTCGGATGAGAGGCTTGCAAGACTTTGGTCTCCAAATTGCCCCTTCGAAGCGAAAAATTTCTTCTCTTGCTTCAAATGGTTCTTGGAAATCCACATTTAATGGTACTGATCCAGCTCTTAGTCGCAGTGGTCTTGGCATGGGAAGAACAAGTCATGTGAATGGTAAACATTCTTTAGAGAAACGGAGAAGGTCACATGATGGATTGAGTGATGAAATTTTGGTCAAGAGACCTGATAAACGTCGTCCTCTTGTTCAAGTTTTGCAGAATAGTGCAAAATTAGCAGTCCCACAGTGCTTGCATCCTGACAGTACTACTCTTTCTACTTCTATTTCAGGAGTGGAGTCGACTGGAGTTATTTGCAAGGCAAAGAGGAGTAAAATTGTATATTTTCCAGCTGAGTCTGGTGAATCCTTGGAGTACGAAGCGTCTCCTTCAAACCATGTAGCGAGCTCAGCCTCCCCAGTTGGCGCTCGTCCTCATGCTGAATCCATGATTTCAGAGAACACTTCTGGCTTTACAGAGGATGACTCTGATTCTTCTGAAACTGATACTTCCGAGTCCGAGTCGGATTCATCTGAGACCGAACCAGAAATGGATGAAGACATGCCTTTACTTTCAGGTTCAGCTTTTTACTACCTTTATATTTTGAAATTCCATGGTTTATGAGTTGCTAGATTGTCTGATGTAAAATAGCCCCACTCTTCATATTTGTTGGGAAGTTCAGCTCTATTATTCTTATTTATAATACATATGCTACATGCAATATTTTGAGTTCTTTTTGCATGTACCTCCTTTAACGTTTGGTATGCATATTTTGATCTTCTATGGAAGATTCGATCTGTAGCATGTTTCTCATCTTAATGTGCAGATTGTGATTCGGCAATTATGCTTTTAAATGTATGCACTCGAACTACAGTCTATTGTTTTAACGTAAATGAAGTCTATCCTTCCTAATTCTACCTTATTTTATTGTTTATATTTGTAAGTATGTGTTGTTATAACTTGTGGAGTATGCACTTTATGCTATTGAGTTGGTTTTACTGGCTTTGGCCTCAATTGTTCATGATGGCTTCGCCACTTCTTTGTGAACACCCTCTAAATTTTGTCTGTACATCAATCTGCAGAACCAGAAGTGGGAAGATATGAAGCACAAGAACACAAAATCATGGTTGATGAGGACCCTGATGAATTCTCGCATTCCGGTGATATGTCTCACCTCTATAGTCATGACCCTTTATTTGCTAGTGAAGCTGTTTCCAAATGGCAGTTGAAAGGGAAAAGGAATATCCGCAATCTTACGAAAAAGTCAGTGGATGCAACTTACGGCAAAGGCTATAATTATGGACCATATTCTGAAGAAAAGGTATGTGCTTTTACCTATATTATTCTTGAATCTCAAGTTTCCATTGATACATCAATGGTTTAAAAAACGATCCTTGAGGTGCGCCTAGGCAGCTTTGGAGGCTGGGCGGTGATGTAACGCCTCTGCCCAGCTGGAATAGGCTTAAACTTGCCTAGACGCGGTCGAGGCGCGCCTGAGGCATTCGACTGGGCGTTTTTTCTTTTCTTCAGAAACTGCCCAAGTTCAAGTTCAAGTTCAACTAGACTATATGACACACCCTCTAAGTTCAACTAGACTATGACATACCCTCCGACTAGACTATATATTAATAATTTTAGGTCCCGTGAGACTATCGCCTCACGCCTCAAGGCTTTCCCCTAGCCAGGGCTATCCATGAAACGCCTTGGCATCGCCTTCGCCTTTTAAAACATTGTGATACATTGCTCTTAGTGATTATCCTCATAGGGTTAATGTCGATAGTAATGATTTTCAGACTGAGTTTATTGGACTGGAAGATGAATACTCCATGGCATCAAGAGCTGCAACAAGAAGTCGAAACAGTGTTGGTCAGAATATGATTGATTGGGAGGACTGGACCTGGGAGGATAGGTCTGCTAGGAACGAGTACTGGGACATCAAAAGAGAACGCTTTAACCCGGTATATGATGGCCGTCATCGTTATCGCAGGAGGCCAAAATACTTGATAGATGTTGACTTGAAGGTCCAGGCAAGTTACCAAAAGGAGCCTGTTCCAATTGTTTCTCTGATGAGCAAGTTAAATGGGAAGGCAATAATAGGGCACCCAATCCAAATTGAAGCCTTGGAAGATGGGTCATCCAACTCGCTTCTTTCAACAGTTGATGAATTTGGTGAAGCAATTGAATTGACAATAATGGGGTTGTAACTCTTCCACATGCATGGAGGACAGCAAGGAGAACAGCAAATGTTCGAGTCCCACGCCCTCATTTATCATCCGCATTGGATGGTGATGAAACTGCTGACTACCTTCGCTTTTCAGATGAAGAAAGCAGACCACCATTTAAGAAATTAAATATAGGGAGCTTCAGTAACAAGGCAAGCCAGGGCAAAGGGAGCCTTCCTAACAGCTCTCGGCTTCCCACTGACAGAAAGTTCTCAAAAAAAGCGGCCAAGAAAGTGATCCTATCGTCAAGCCAGAAAACGAGGACTATATCTTCAATACCCGTTGAACAGAATTTTAGTAACAAGCCTATACACCATGACAGCAGTAGTTATCAAAGGGATGGGCTGATCAAGCCGGAGTCTTCTGGGGCTGCTAAGACCGTAGCTTGCATACCCGTGAAATTAGTATTCAGTAGGTTACTTGAGAAGATCAATAGGCCGCCATCAAAAGCAGTTATTTTATTGAATAGCGAAAAGGAGAGAAATTCATGATAGATTTACATGTACATTGTTATATGAGTACAATAAGTTCAAACTTCTAGCACAGTATTTTACTGCTATTCTCTTATTTCTGGACGAGACTACCCACAAGGACACTAGAAGACCACCTTTTTCTGCCGTCTTTTGGAATAATCGGATGAAGCGGGTTACCGGCCCGAGGAAGCAGCCATGGAAGCAAACAGAGGGGTTGTCAACTGCACTGCATATTTGCTGGATATGGAATTCTGAGGATTTGAAGGAACTAGGCTTATGTAGGGAGGAAGTAGGTATAGATAGAATTCATAGGGAAATGTACATGTGATTCCATACAAGGCTGTTAATTTGTATCTTGGCTGTCTTTCATTAACTAATTTAAGTAACATATAGCTATAAAAGGTGGGGAGTATGTTCGTGAATTTGTAGTTGCTGATATTTCATTCCTTCTACGCACTTTTTATTTTCGCACTTTAATTTTCCATGTATATATTTACAAGTAAATTGGATTACTAGTCCATATGCATTAGAAAAATGGGACAACTGATAGCAGATTACGGTTTTTCACTATTTCTAGGATCGGATGAGGCTAATTGGGAACTGCATCCTATTCGTGACGATGATCAAGCAAATTCATAGCTTACAAAGTACCAAACCTAAGACCTTCCGTTATTTTCTTTAGAGAGTTGTTGTTTGCGCTTTTCAACTAGGCCACTTGTCTGTTAGTCCATACACGTCAACTCTACGAAAATTTCCTAAATTATAAATTGCAGTAATTTGTAGTTTTGGTTATCGAATTAAAAAATTATTAAAATTGACAAAATGTTTACGTCAATTCTCCAAAAAAGTTCATAAAAATTGTGCACGTACCTAAAAAGATGAAATTGTTGTAAAATCGACGGTGGGTGCAGTGGAATAAATGAAACAAGACACAAAATTTACGAGGTTCCTCTACAGTCAGTGTGACTGGAGTACGTCCTCGGGGCAGCTGTGATGCTTTCATTATAATCTGAAATAATAGGAGTACAAAGATAACTCTCTCTATTATCTCCTCTCATCTTCCTCTATTCTCTCTCTTCCTCTTCCTTCTCTCTCTTCCTCTTCCTTCCTTCCTCTCTTTCTTTCCCGTGAACTTTTTTCACTTCATTCATCTTCTTCCTTTATATAAACAAAAGAAAGCACTATTCACTTTACAAATTTTCCACAAATGAATAGTGAAAATACTGTGCATAAATAGTAACAAACTATTCATGTGGACCATCCACATAATATTTACAACACTCCCCCTTGGATGGCCACAAGTCTTCGATTGACTCGTTAAAATCTTGATCTGTCTTGGATGCTCCCCCTGATGAGTATCTCCCCCTGATTTCAAATCATTTAGGTTGATCGTTGATTGTTCTGCTTTAGTCTCTTAGTAAGAAGAATTGCTAAAAGAGTTGCTTTACTTATTGTTAACTTTCCACAGCCTTTTTCTTGAACTGGGTTGTAGGACTTTCTGCTAGACTAGCATTGAAGATCGGAATTTACTCCTTTTATCTGGAGCGGAATTTGATTCAAGAGTAATGAACACTTGATCTTGAATCGGACTTGTGATTTCTTCAAGGACCTTCGATGCTTGATCTTGAATGAAATTGGACCATGAGGAGCTTCATGTGGCAAGTGATCTTCAGTTTTGTCAGGGATGAATCAGCACGCGTTTGTTGCGCTTGTCTCCACATGCTTCAATGTATCATTTTTACTTTCCTTACTTGCTCCCCTTGCTTAAGTAGTATTTTCCCTGCTTTTCCCCCCATGCATGTGTGGCATCTTCTCTTGTAGGATTTGTCCCCTGATGCAGGAGAGGAATGCAAACCCTTGAATGGTTCATCACTTCTTGGTGACTGGAGACCCAGCTCCAACCGTTAAAGATGACTACTAGAGCAACACTAGGTAAGCAATCAGGAAAGGTTCCAGGCAGTCGGTTCCTTACCGGGAGTTTGAGTGGAAGTTCCGACATATTGCTTTCTTTATCCTTGTCTTCGTAGGCAAGAACAAGGACAAAGGAAATGACAGGGAGATTGCATGATATGAGATAATCTTGCTCTGGTCCCTGAAGATATGTGATAATCTTGCTCTGGTGTGACATGTTTGAAGAGGTATTCTCGGAGAGGAAGAAAACTGAGTATTTCGAGATGCTATGTTGAAGATGCATTCTCGGAGATGAGGAAGAGTTAGGTATTCTTGCAGTGTTGCGGGGGTCTGCCTTGTTATGGAGAACAGAGGTCGACATATATAGAGATTTCTCAATAGCAAGTGGTGGTGCTGTGCTTTTACTCTTGTCAGCAACTGTGGTGTAAATAGAACAGTAAGATTTACGCGTTTTCAACTTTGTCAGAGATCTTTGACAAAATTGCACGCGACATCTGAAAAAGTTGGGTTACGTCTGAAAAATGCCAACGAACTTTATTCAGGAAAATCTGGCTTTTGAAATTCGGAGAGCGGTGCCTCTTCGATCTTTGAACAAGTGGCTCTGCTGCCTCTTCTTTTATAGAGACATCAATTGTGTTCAAGGGTATGCTCAGAAAATTGCTGCCTGAGAAATTTCCACCTTCTTGCACTTCTGAAATTTTATTTGACCTCTGTTTTTCCTTCATCATTTCTGAAAAATGACTTGCCCATCTAACATTTGCTTAGATTTGAGTCTTAGGAGTGATACAGACGAGCAGCGTCAGGATAATATATGGCGCCCGTCCTTCTTATCTTCTAATGGTCCTCTTACGGTTGGGGACTCTATGATGAAGAATAACATAACCGCTACTGTGGTAGCTAGGAATCTTCTCACTCCAAGGGATAACAAAGATCCTTTCAGAACGGTCTGAAGAGTCGGCCATTCAAGACTCCTTGGCTCTCAGTGTTCAGTGTGCTGGCTCTGTGTCCAATATGGGCCAACGCCTACTTGCTCAAACTCGCCAAGTTGAATCATTGATGGCGGAGGTGGCAAGTCTTAAACAAGAGATCAGAGGGCTCAAGCACGAGAATAGGATGTTACACGTGCTTGCAAATAGTTACTCTACGAGCATGAAAAGAAAGCTCGTCCAACTGCAGGAATCCGAAAGTCGGATTCAAAGTGATCACCAGAGGTTCGTTGCTAGATTCCGAAAGCAACTGATGCCTTCCCCTTCTGGTGTTTTGCTAAGTACTGGGGTGCCACATGATCAATCTCCAGTGCCTCCCCTTCTGGGGTACTTCCGAGTACTGAGGCTTCACATGAGCAACCTTTGTGAAGGCTCCATCCTGTTTGTTTTGTTTTAACTCATGTGTATGTATATATCTGTAATTTCTTGGAGATATTAATAAATAAACTTTATTTTCATTCAATGTATTGTGCCAAATACAATAAAGCATATACTTCACTAAGATGTGGTACTTCTGGACCAAATATTAATTTATCTTTACCCTCACGAAGATAAATGATTATTCTTAGTGATGAGTATTCAACTCATAATCTTCAATCCATATGGTTCTTTTAATATCATAAATATCATGGATAAGATTCGTGTTGGTAGATTGTTCGATCTGCAGCTCGAGACAATAATTCCTTCAACACTTTATAATTTTTCTAGACTCTTCAGGAGTCCCAATTTAATATCATCAACTCTTCAAGAGAGTTAATAATTTAATGTCATTGACTCTTGCAAGAGATTTTAGTATGTTGCAACAATATCATAATGATAGTACTCACTAAGGCAATTTATATAATCCATTGGTATTGAGTACATATTTTATGTTTTACCCTTCAGAGGCTTACTTCAAGCAATTTGAAATCCTTCAAGGGTTTTCTACACTTCATGATACATTTTCCTTTTGGAATTTATACAGAGCAATTCGCTCCCCATGTATACTTGAGGGATTTACTTATGGAGATATGATGTGGGCGACTCACAACCCTTCGTATATAATTCTCCATTTATATGAACTCGTTTACAACCTTGTGTCATATCATGTAAGTGTATTACACTGTATTACAAATGCCCATATATAACCTCCTCCTTGGTTCAACATCTTTTGGGCTATTTGTATTGTATTCAAATATATATATAGGTTCATTTGCCCACGTTCTTACAAAATTGTAATGGAATTGCCTTTCTCCATTTTGGCCAATAATTTTTCTTTTGTCGACGAACAAAAGAACGTGACTCAATATTAACACAGTTCATTGATGAATTTAGTAGCTACTACTTGTAAAAACCAAAATTACCATTGGTTATCATCAATCCGTGATCCCATATTCTCATGTGCATGCGCATGCATAAAAGCTTTTCATTTCTTTGGATATCCATTGCCTCTTCAAGGGCATGACGCTATCTCTTCCAGGATAGTCATAATTGAGAGAATGTGGATCATAACCTCCTCTTGAGCGTTATAGAGCTTGGATTTTCTCCACTTCCGGGAGTTGAGTCTTTGGAACCTATACATCTATCATGCTACATGCATGAGACATCAATATTCCCATGTCTGTGGATTGTCCTATCTGGGACGTGTATCCATGTGGCGACTGTCATGCTTCTGGCATGCAACAGTTATGCTTCGGGAATGCAATAGTTCAGTAGTGCCATATTATTCTTCTTTCGAATAACTGAACCTTTTGAGTCTAAAAATCTGCCACGCTTCAGGCGTGCAACAGATAAATCATTTACTGTCTCATTATTTTATCCAACAGAGACATCAATTCTTGTAAGCACATTTGCAGTAAGTATATATGATTTCATCACTTTCGTTGTATCATTTAATTATCCATATTTCATTTTCTCATTGATTGCTTCGTGAATCAAAATAAGACAAATTCTCTTCGTTCTTCTGGAACGGTCTTTTCTCATCATTCTTTTGGAATGATATTTTCTCATCGTTCTTCTGGAACGATATTATTTTCTCCCCCTAATGGCAGGAAAATTGTCTTATCAAAATGACAGTCCGCAAACCATGCGGTAAACATATCCCCAATCAAGAATTCCAAATATTGAATGATAGATGGTGTTCAACTTCAATGCCTAATCTGCAATGATGCCTCATTTCAGTACGTTGTGGCAGTCTTACAGGCACATAGACAACACAACCAAAAACTCGTAAATGTATAATGTTTGGTTGGTTCCAAACCCGAGTTGTACTGAGAAGTATTGATGGTCGGTAACATGTCTCAACCGAATTAATAATGCATCATGTAAAGTTTACATGTCCCCATGTAGAAAAATTGGCAATTTCGTTTTCATGAGCAGAGCGCGGGAAATCAATTTCATTCGATTAATAAAGGCTTCTGCTAAACCATTTTGAGCATGGACATAAGGAACTTCTGGTCCTTATTTAATAGTCTGTAAACTGAGACTCTTATGGCTTTTTATTACAATTAAGTTAAGGCACTGCGGCACTTCAAACTTACGGTACTCATCTAGGAACTTCATGTCCTGATCTTCAGGATCAAGGGACTTCATGCCAGATCCTTTTGTATGATGGAACTTCGGGTCCAATTATTTTATATGATGAGGATCAAGAAACTGCAGGTTCTGATCTGATCAAGGAACTTCAGGTCCTGTATATACTCATAGTAACAAAAGATAAGTACAATAAATAAATTAAAGCAAAGACGGTAATTCCAAGCATAATGAATAAAGCATTTAAGTAAATAAAGCTTGTGACAAGGGCTTTAATTCAGCACCATCATAAACTTAAAGCAATAGGCCGTAAAACCGTCCATGGTAAATAAATTGCTTTAAAGTAAATAAAGCATGTGACAAGGGCTTTGATTCAGCACCATAAATAAATTCATAAAAGCTTTAAAGCAAAGGGTAATAATTCTACACCATAAATAAATTGCTTTAAATAAATAGAACTTGTGACATGGGCTTTAAACCAACACCATGCACATAAATGCCAAAACAGAAAATGCAATGATTAAGTCCTCAATGTTTGCTTTTTCTTTTTTGGATTTTCTGTCTGCCACTTCTTTTGTTTCATCCCTTTTATTTTTATTATTATTTCACAGTTCGAAGTCATTTTGGTTACTCAGTAAATAATAGTAACAATAAGTTCCAATTGGTGTTCCTCTTCCGGTGAGTTTCGAAAAAAGTCGAAACGATTCCCATAAGTTTTGGAGTCAAGAGTGTCTGCAACTTATGAGAAGATCAAACCGTTAGATTTAGTTCAAAATTTAGTATGATATGGATAAGAGGATACCAAACAACTTTCGTGAAGAAACAATTTCAATTTGAACTACCGAAATGGAGTTTTGGTACTCATAAGGTGGCTGCCCAGTTTTCTGCGGAAATTGGAAACGGGTTTGGTATTTCAGACATCTGCGACGATCGCACCGTTAACATTTTCTGAAATTTTGATATGTTGTAGATACTGAGCAGACGAACAACTTTTAAGAAGAAAGTATTTCAATCCGAGGTCCGCAAGTTGGAGTTCCGAGGCTATTTACATGGCTGTCAAATTCTCTTACAAATTTTGAGTCTTTTACTCTTTTGCTTCTGCAAAGGATGATATACAGTCATATATACAAATATATATAGTTGCTTCAAGAAAATCAATTGTACTGAGATTTGAAGATGAAATGAAATTTTTTTTCTTTATCTCTATGAGATTCCAGCTGGAGGAGGTGAACAGGATTTGTGGCGTTGTGCTTTCCACTGACATGAGAGCTTCTCGTGCTGATAACGTGTTGTAAAATCGACGGTGGGTGCAGTGGAATAAATGAAACAAGACACAAAATTTACGAGGTTCCTCTACAGTCAGTGTGACTGGAGTACGTCCTCGGGGCAGCTGTGATGCTTTCAATCTTGAAATAATCTAGGAGTACAAATAATACAAAGCTCTCTCTATTATTCTCTCCTCTTCATCTTCCTCTATTTCTCTCTTCCTCTTCCTTCTCTCTCTTCCTCTTCCTTCCTTCCTCTCTTTCTTTCCCGTGAACTTTTTTCACTTCATTCATCTTCTTCCTTTATATAAACAAAAGAAAGCACTATTCACTTTACAAATTTTCCACAAATGAATAGTGAAAATACTGTGCATAAATAGTAACAAACTATTCATGTGGACCATCCACATAATATTTACAACAGAAATTTTTTAATACCAATGAAAGTCCTACTCTAAACTAACACTATTGGGACGAAAAAAAATTTAAACATAGAACACATTGAATTAAAGAAAACCATCAGAACAATTCACCTATTGCTTAGAGGAATTTATTTCTTTTTCAAGCGCAATTTCCTGTGCTAATTATGCACGTGTCAAAATGTAGTGCAATTTTCCAATTTCCTCCTTTAAAAATTCACATGGCCCTACATTGCTGGGACTAGCCCAACCCATTTAAAGTTGGGTTGATTTAGATGTTAGGCACCCAAATTACCATACTGGGCCAGCCCAGCTTTTGTGGTATATACGTGACAGTTGCCATAGCCCGGTCCAATACCACAGTGAATCCAAACCCTTCGAGAAACTTTTTCGGTCATTCTCTTTTCGTTCACAGAGAGAGATAGAGCGGGGAAAGCTTTGTAACCTCATCGGAGAGAGCGAGCGAGCGAGCGAGAGCTGCACTGGTGAGTTCGTCTTCCTCCATACTGTAAACAAACAAGAATTTTGTGTTTCTTGATAACATTTTGACGATGATCAAATTCTATTGCGATCAAATGTGACCTGCGTTCTTCGATTGTTTCGGTTTTTTCTAAATTGAATTTTGGTTTCTTGCACAAGACGCTAGGGGATCAACAGTTTCATTTTTTTTTCTTTTGGTAATTTCATGGAAAACAATCGATGGAAAATAAAAACTAGAGCTTCAGAAAGCTTACTGAAGCATTGGAATTAATTGTGATTTTTAGCTTAATTTCATGGAAATATTCTTTAATTTCTGTTAATTCTGCTTGTTTTTTTTTATTATAATTATGAAGCATTGGAATGCATTGTATTTTTAGCTTAGTTTCTTTGCTTTGGCTTAATTTCATGGAAAGATTCTTTAGTTTCTGTTAATTATGTTTGTTTTTATAATAATTATGATTCCGTAATCTGCATACACAGATTTATGCTTTCGGGTTTGATCAGTTCAAGAAATTGTAATATATTATAGATGAATTGGACAAGGTTTTCCACCAAGGTTTACAAAACTTGTGCGGCAAAATCCAAATGTGGATCCTCATTCTGTCATATCAGAAAACCCCATCAGAATGCTATTGAAGACACCAAAAGCATTTGGGTCCACTGTGGTTTTCAGTCTCAAAGAGGAAGTCTACCTGCTACTTCATGCCCTCAGGATGGATCCTGTGTTGCTACTGTAGCTAAAGATTTTGAGCAGCGGTTGATTGGAGCAAGAAATGTAATTTCAAAGTTTAAAGGAAGTTCCATGTGGTCTGAACAGAGACCGGTATCTTTGTCTCGTCAGTTTGGACACAAGGCTGGTACTGGCGGTGATCCTGAATTGACTAGGGACTTCCTTGTACAGCTCTGGGTTGCAGATAGGAAAATGGAACAGTCTAAAAGAAAGAGAAGAGGGAAAGCTGTTAAGTATATTAAAAAATCACCGTACCATTATTCATCCTATGGATGGTATCCAAGTGCACCTTTCAGTCAAGCAGTCTCTTATGATGAGGATGAACCCAATATGACAACCGCCCCCAAGCCAATCCATCTCAGGATATCTGAAGCCAGAATCTCCAGAAGAAGTAAATTTTTGGCTCCCTGTTTCTTTTCCGCCCTTAGGATTACAGCTCTTAAGTTATTCACATAGATGCAATCACCTAATTTCCATGGCCCCCTGGTAATATTTTGTAGTAAGTATCATTGTTGAAACTTAACTACGGTATGCTCTTAAAGAGTAGCAACTCAAATGTGATTTTTACTGCTGATAGAGACATTCTCTTATATTACTATGCTAAAATTATTTGCCACAGTTTTTCACTTATGCTCATCTTTCCAAGCTTCTAGTATCCAAGCCATTCCTTGTTATGCCTAGTTTGAGTAACATAAAATGTCTTACTTGCCATTCGTTTTATTTTTTTAGGCCCAGGTGATGCCTCTTCTTGCTAGATCAAATCTGCTGATTACTAGGGATATAGAGTGGGCAAATCTTGCTTTTGGATTTGAGCAGGTGATTCTTTTCCCTAATATTGTTCTTCCCTGCACTAATTTGCATGTACATATTGTCATGGCCGGAAGCATCAGATTATGTGCTTTGGTGCTTGCCATATTTGCTGGTTCTAAAACTGTCAACTTGACTTCTTTTAAAAGCCCTTGGTTTTCTTTCTGTTTGTCCCCCTCCCCCTCAAATTGTTTGCCTTGAATGTTCAGAAAAATATTTTATAAATATAATAGGTCTGATGTTTCTATTCCAAATATATTTTGAGAACTAAGTCACGTGTAAAAGTTTGTAGAATTCTCCATCTCAGTAACTCTCTCTCTCTCTCTGAATATGTTATTTTCACGCAATCTGACATTTATTGGGCATCTCTTTCAGTTCGTCTTCTTGCTAGTGGTACTCTAGTTACTAATTGTATTTGACATAATTCCAGGAAAATCGGTATGGAATAGTGGATGTGTGCTACCCAGAGTCAGTGAGTAATCATTCTAGTTCATGCACTCTCTTGACGTTTCCCATATAAGAAGTTTAGGTTTTAAACTAATGGACCATATCCTGTTACTCAATGGCTTTTTTTTTTTGTAGCCTGTTGGTTTGATTCGTGAGCAGAGTCATGTTATTGCTAGACAGGTACTTTCTAACTCAATCTTTAAATTTTTTTGCTGATATTCTGTCATGTACAGTTATGCAGTTTGAGCATGACGTTGTTAATAAGTTACTTCATTTTGAATGTTAATTTTGTTAAAGTTGATTGCTGATTCAACTATAAAATTACCTCCATTTGACCACTGATTGCTTCTTGTGTTTTATGTTATCTTATAGAGGTTTTCCTGTGCTGATGTTTGCATTTCATTTTGCAGTTGCTTCGTCTCAGGCGCCCTTTTGTTGCTCTTGTAACTGATGCCATGGGTAATGAGCTCTTTAGGGTGAGGAGGATATAGAGCATTTATTTTTTATTTTTTGTGGAAAAAAAAGGAAAACTAATGAAAAAGGCTTGAAAACTTTGAGTTTTAACAATAAGGACAAAATAAAGGGTAAAATGAATAGTACCAGGATTGACTTTTTAGTGTAAAAATATGGTTTTTCGTTAAAGTGAACAGTACCAGGAGCTTTTCATTAAAGTTCCCCAAAAAAAAAAGCATTTTGAATTATACTGACATTTCAGTTTGAGCCCTTATTTTTCTTATTTAGGTTCGCAGGCCTTTTTGGTGGATAACCAGCTCAATTTATGTAGAGATCAATGGTAAGGTAGGACAACTTCACATAATTTATCTGTTGGTCGCCAAGCAGTTATAGAGATTGTTGAGCATGTAAATTAGCATTCAGATTGTTGATAGTGTTGGTTATCTGTTATTTCTAGGAAATCGGTGTGGTTCACAGACGATGGCATCTTTGGAGGAGGGTGTATGATTTGTACCTAGGGTAATTTCCAAATGCTATTGTATTTTAATGCAGTGTTTATTTGAATTCAGAATGTGTCACCTCATATAATCAAGATTAGTGCCCCATACTGCACATTGTTGCCTTATGCTACATGGTTGTTGTAGGGATAAACAGTTTGCAGTTGTAGAAAATCCTGGCTTCTGGCATTGGACTTTTACTTTGAAGGACATTGATGGGGGAGTTTTGGGTGAGATAGATCGTGAGTGGAGGGGTTTTGGCTTTGAGGTCTGTTTTCTTATCTTCAACAACATTACAATATCCTATGAAGAAATTATTTTATGTTTCGGAATATGCATTTAGGGACCTAGATATCTTGTGATTAGCAATTAATGGTAAACTTAGATCTTATGAAATCATGAATTTTTAATTTTAGTTCAGTCTTTATGCGCGTATTTGGACTTTTTTTTTTCCGTTAGTTTCTTAAACTTTAAAACATAAAGTATCATATTTGATCCCGAACGGATGTGTACACTCCTGTGGGCCACCTCCGTTTGTTTGTGCCAGCCATCCAGATTGGAGAGTGTGCACATGCCCTTGGGAATTATTTAGTTGGATTGAAGACCCAGATACCCCCAAGCTATGAAAAAAATGCATATGGGGTTTGAGATAGTTCTCTGACTCAACAACATTCACAAAAGATTAATGCTCTATATATTCTTTTACCAAAGATCTTATATATTTTTTTATTTTTCAGTTAAGATATTAGATTTTATGTGGCATTGTTTGCAGATTATGTTGTAGATATACCAACTAACTTCCATATCATACAGATTTTCACTGATGCAGGGCAATATGTGATTCGGTTTGGGAGTTCTGATCCCAGCTCTATTACTGGTCCTTCTAGAATTGAAGAGTTGGAAGTTGTTCGACCACTGACTCTGCTAGAGAGAGCTGTAACTGTTGCTCTTGCCATATCGTTGGACAATGACTATTTCTCACGACACGGTGGATGGTAAGCCAAAATCCGAATGACTATTTCTTAAGACACCATGGCTAGAATGTTCATTGAATGTTCATTGTAAGCTCTGACCTTTGTATGTAGAAAATGTTCCATAAAAATTTAGAAAATGTTCGGATCTATAGAGTATAGACTCAGGCAATCCAATTTCTGTCATCTTCACATTGTTTGCATAGTCCCATCTAAGAAATCTATGGGAAATTTGGAAAAATAGCCAAATTTTGGCTTTGTCTATAATTTTAGCCTACTGTTTTAGTTTATCATAATTCTAACCAAAAGTTTGCTTGAAAGTACTCGCATACTCTTAATGATTAGATTAATGATTAGAAACTTGATTTCTTTCTGTCATTTCCCCTTCCCCGCCCCTCTATACTCTATTCAGTTCAGAGCCTTCTCTTTCATAGCATACTTGTCTCATAATTCCCAGTGCCGATTAACTTCCATTTTCATGATCTACTTATGGAAACTCCGCCATAACTGGTACCATACTTCCCAACATACTCCTCCGAACTCTTCCAATCCTTTTTCGGTTTTATTGAAAGAGAAAACGAATTAACAATCAGCATAGCTTTGATACTTAAAAGTCTATAACAACGGGAACGTATGACACCCAATTAACTTGCAGTAGTGTTTGTATAAAACTTCGGATATTTCTAATTTTTGATCATTGATTGATCGATAAAGATGAGAAGGAAAAGAGATACTTGAGATGATGAGAACTGGGAAGATGAGAAGGAAAGGGGAAGAGAGATGTGGTTAGGCTGGGGTTTAGGCTAAGATTATCACAAGTCAAAAGAGATGGCTAAAATTCTATATGGGACCTAAATTATGACTATTTCCTAAACTTCCTGAAAACTATGTTCTTTTAATTCTTTATATCCTGTATGTCTTGTAGACTGTTTCAGTACTATTGCTGCCTCTGTCCTTGTTGCCTATTGAGCGAGAGTTGCAAAATGCACGCTAATTTGTTTGTATGTGTGTTGTGCGTGCGTGTGGTTCTTGTTTCGGTTCCAGGGGATTGCCATTTTATGAAGTAGGAGAATAGGCCTGGCTGGCTGTATGCAGAAAGAAACCAAAATCCATATGGTAATGTGTTCGTTCTTAATTGGCGATGGCTCTCAAAGACAAGGCCTTTCCGGCTGTGTTTAGACGTGCGATTCTAGTGGATGATATGATACGCTATTTTTCTTGTTTATTTGTGAATACATTATTGTACTTTTTTAAGTCATGAAGTGCCCATCTTGGATGATGAATGAGGATGAATTGTAAAATTGCCATATCTTGGTGTTGAAGGCGGATCAGTCTTCTAATCCTCGATTACAAACTTCTTATTAACTTCAAATTTCGACATGATATCCTTAACTTGTACAAACATGGCCTGATTATCCCGTTAACTCAGTTTGGAATTTGGAATTTGAAATTTGAATAATATCAACTGGCAACCGTGATAATGGGACGATATCCGCTCCCTTGCACCACAAGTTTAATTTGAATCATGGTTCGTGAGGTTGTTATAACTTTTCATTTTGTTTCCTGAGATTTAAAATTGATAAAAGTGGTTCTTGAGATTGTCCACTAATAATCATTTTGGTCTTTCTGTAAAAAAATCTATGTTAAAATGAACAACCTCGAGTCCAGATGGAGGGATTGATTTAATAAAATGGTTGACAGTGGACAATTTAGGGACTACTTTATTGATTTTAAGTTTCAGGATACCAAAGTGACGAGTTATGTCACTTTTAGAAACCATTTTAGCAAAAATTCCTCCCGTAAATTAGAAATATAAAAGGGACAAATGTGAAAATAAACCATAGAGGACGAGTGTAAAATCCAATTCAACCAAACCAAACCAAATGCGTGGTTATGATTCGTGATGTCAAAATTGTCAACCTTTATGCTCGTTACCAAACATTTCCATAGCTGGCATGATATCATCGCTCCAAATATCTCATCAGCACCATTTTTCACGTGTAAATTCACCCAACCTCTACCAGCATATGATTCATGAAGCTTGAAGAGGAAGAAGAAAAAGCAGCATTCTTTGTAGATCCATTTGATCGGTGAGCGCGACGAACATGGCTGCAGCTCTTGGAGGAGGTATTGCTTTGCTTTTGGCTGAATTTAAAAGAGAAGTTGGAGAATTTCATATCTGGGTTTGTTTGGAAATTGAATTTTACTTCCAGTTACGTGTCTCGTGAAATTTATTGGTTGTGAATTGTACAGGGATAGCTGTTGTGATCATGGGAGTCAGTGGTGCTGGCAAATCGTAAGCCTTTGATCTCAGCTTTTGTTATTTTTCATTTCTCTGTAAATATATATGTAACACGGTAGCACTGATGAGTTCATCATATCAAACTGGCATTTACATGCGCCCGAGCGAGGTCCTGAGTTCGATTCCCGCTCCCTCCCCAATATTGCTTGTACATGGAAAAAAAACTAACAATCTTCAGAAGCACCACCACACTGGATGCGAATGACTTTCTCAAATGCCTTGGTGTGATTGGATTTAGATATAAATAGCATCACTTAGGAAAGTTGCAGTTTCTTATGTTCGATCTTCGAATGTTGTAGTTTCTGCTTCTTATGCATTCCGTTATGTGGTTCAACAGCACAATAGGCGAGATGCTGGCGAGAGAGACAAATTCTAGCTTTATAGATGCAGATGATTTCCACCCTCAATCAAACAAAGGTGGATGCTGGTGTGTAATTTACATTCGATGTTGCCAACTTTTCTAGTTTCTAATCGATCTTTTGTCTTCCTGTAATCAGAAAAGATGCGTAAAGGGATCCCTCTCACCGAAGAAGACCGGATGCCTTGGCTTGAAAAACTTCGAAATGGTGTAAGAGACAAGTTGCTCGGTGGAGGAACTGTGATTCTTGGGTGTTCGGCTCTGCAGAAGCGATACAGAGAAATTTTAAGATCTGCCGACCCTAATTATTGTTGGTATATGGTCCAGCCCATGATCAATGTTCTAGATTATTCTAGTAAGCAAGAGAGATGGCTGGAGCATGCTAGACAATTCTAGCATGTTATTAAGTTGATGGAAGAAGCTAGAGAGTACTAGCTTCCTTGGTTGCAAATGGAAAGATCTAGAAGCCACACTTTTGTGGCTAGTCTAGATCTTTCTATGCTAGAGGTTTGAAGAATACACTAGAAACTAGTAGAATGCCAAACCTTCACCTATAAATATGGGTGTGATGTTGTAGTGAACCAACAAATCAAGAGAGTAGTGAGTAGCAAATGATCAAGTCCAAAGCTAGAGTTCCACTCCAAGAGTGAGAGTGAGAGTGTTCCACTACACATTGTGTGAGTGAAGTTTAGTGTGATAGAAAGTGTGTGTCCTACTTTCTTGTATCCATCAAGCCTTGTCTTTGGCTTGGTAAGACTACTCTTGTTGTACTCATCTTTTCATATAGTGAAGATTGATCCTTGTTTGGTGGACGTAGGCATAAATTGCCGAACCACATAAATTTTTGGTGTCCATTTTCTACTTTACTTTGTGCATTCTCTATCTTGTAGTACCGACATTCCTAACAAGTGGTATCAGAGCCCGGTTGGCTCGTACTACGAGATGGAAGGAAGTGGCACTATGATCAAACTCACCAACTCCAATTGGGTAACATGGAAGCCAAGGATGGAGGACATTCTCTATTGCAAGGATTTGCATGAGCCAATTGAAGGAGATGCCGCTAAGCCCGAGAGCATGTCCGATGCCGAGTGGAAGAAGATGAATCGCAAGGCTATTGGCACAATTAGACAATGGTGGTGATGATAGTGTTTTTCACCATGTGTCTAATGAAACCAATGCTCGCGAGTTTTGGACGAAGCTTGAGTCCTTGTTCGAGAAGAAGACCCCAGCCAAGAAAGCCTTCTTGATCAAAAGAGCTCATCAATGTGAAGTACAAGGATGGTTTAAGTGTAGCAGAACACTTGAACAATTTCCAGAATATCATCAACCAGTTGGCTACTATGAAAATGACGATCGAGGACGAGCTACAAGCGCTCTTGTTACTTGGATCCTTGCCAGACAGTTGGGAGACCTTTGTGGTGAGTATAAGTAACTCTCTGCTTCTAATGGTGTTCTTACTCTTGATAATGTTAAAAATAGCATGCTCAATGAAGAAACAAGGAGAAAGACTTCTGGCACAGATAGCAGCCAAGTATTTGTCACAGAGAACCGCGGAAGAAGCAAGAGTAGAGGGCCTAGAGGTCATGGCAGGAGTCCAAGCCGATCCAAGTCAAGGTTCAGGGTGCATGCCACCATTGTGGCAAAGAAGGCCATATGAAGAAAAATTGTCGAGTTTTGGAAGAGAGAGCAAAGGGAAGGAAACAATCAGAAGAAAGATGATACTGGCAATACCACCGCTGTCATATGTGGTGATGTACCAGAAATATTGTCTGTTGGTGTGAATGTCTGCATATGGGCAACTCTGACAGAGACATTGAATGGATCTTTGATAATGGAGCTTCCTTCCATGCTACGTCCAAACGGGAGTTCTTCAGTACATACAAAGAAGGTGACTTTGGCATAGTGAAGATGGGGAATGAAAGCTATTCCAAAATTCTTGGAATTGGTGATATCTGCTTAAGAACTAATCTCGGCTGCCAATTGATGTTGAAAGATGTGAGACATATTCCTGATATACGTCTCAATCTGATATCCATCGGTACCCTTGATCGACAAGGATATTATCACCATATTGGCGAAGGAAAATTGAAGCTTACTAAAGGCTTAATGGTGGTAGCAAGAGCACGACTTTGTTGTACGTTGTACCGGTCAAATGCCAAGGTTTTGAAAGGTGAGTTGAATGCTGTGGAAGACTCATCTCTAGACTTGTGGCATAAGAGGCTAGGCCACATGAGCGAGAAAGGCCTACAAGTTTTGGCAAAGAAGTCTCATATTCCCTTTGCCAAAGGTACGTCGTTAAACTCTTGTGAGCATTGTTTATTCGGAAAACAAAGAAGAGTTAGTTTTTCTGTTCCATCTACAAAGAAAGGAAACTTGTTAGATCTTGTTTTATTCAGATGTGTGTGGTCCCATGGAAGTCGAGTCACTTGGAAGAAATAAATATTTTGTTACTTATATTGATGATGCTTCACGAAGGGTGTGGGTGTATTTGTTGAAATCCAAAGACCAGGTGTTTCAGACATTCCAGGAGTTCCATGCCATGGTGGAGAGGGAAATTGGGAAACCTCTCAAGTGCCTTCGTAGCGACAACGGCGGCGAGTACACATCTCACCAGTTTAGAGAGTATTGTGTAAAACATGGCATACGTCATGAGAAGACAGTTCCTGGAACTCCACAACATAACGGTGTTGCTGAAAGAATGAACCGAACCATCATGGAGAAAGTCAGGTGTATGTTGAGGACTGCAAAGTTATCTAAGCAGTTCTGGGGTGAAGCTGTAAGGACAGCCTGCTATTTGATCAACCGATCTCCATCAGTACCATTAGGTCTTGATGTTCCAGAGAGAGTATGGACTGGTAATGATGTGTCTTACTCTCTCATCTGAAGGTGTTTGGTTGCAAAGCTTTTGTGCATGTGCCCAAAGAGCAGAGATCGAAGTTAGACTACAAAGCTACACCGTGCATCTTTCTTGGTTATGGCGGTGAAGATTTTGGTTACAGATTATGGGACCCATACCAGAAGAAGTTTATCCGAAGTAGAGACGTGGTCTTTTATGAAGATCAAACAATTGGGGATTCGGATAAAGAGGCACAACCAGATGGCGCAGTCAGAGGAGTTGATCCATTAGCTTCAGATGAAGAAAGTCACGATGACATCCCTGAAGCAACTGCCAATGAAGTGCCTGCAGAATCAGATAATGCTGATCAAGAGGAGCCTGATCAAGATGTGCCAGACCATGAGATTGCTGATCAGGGGGAGCCTAGTCAAGAAGAGCAGATTCAAGGAGAATCCAATCAGGGGGAGCCTCAAGCCCCGCAAGAGAATGAAGATCAGGTCAGAAGATCCAGCAAAAGTCGAAGACCGTCTACCAAGTATTCTTCATCAGAGTATATCATGTTGACTAATTATGGAGAGCCCGAAACTTATGAGGAGGCCAGAGCTCATAACGACAGTGATAAATGGATGAAGGCAATGGAGTCAGAGATGGATTCCTTATTAAAGAATAATACCTATGAGCTGGTGGAGCTTCCAAAGGGCAGAAAAGCATTGAAAAACAAGTGGGTGTTCAAATTGAAAAATGACGACAACATGACAAGGTACAAGGCTCGTTTGGTTGTCAAAGGTTTTGGTCAAAAAGAAAGGAGTTGACTTTGATGAGATTTTCTCACCGGTGGTGAAGATGACTTCCATTCGAGTTATCCTTGGTATGGCAGCAAGCATGGATCTTGAGCTCGAGCAGTTAGACGTTAAAACTGCATTTCTCCACGGTAACTTAGAAGAGGAGATATATATGGAGCAACCCAAAGGCTTTGAAGTCAAGGGTAAAGAAACTTTGGTGTGCAAGCTCAAGAAAAGCTTATATGGTCTTAAGCAGGCTCCGAGACAGTGGAATAAGAAGTTCAACTCATTCATGGTGAGTAATGGGTACAAGAGAACTCATGCTGACTCTTGTGTCTATATCAAACAATTTTCTGGAGGTAAATTCATCATTTTGTTGCTTTATGTTGATGACATGTTGATTGTCGGTCAAGATGCTTTTATGATTAAAAAGCTCAAAGAAGAGTTATCTAAGTCCTTTGACATGAAGGACTTAGGGCCAGCCAAGCAGATTTTGGGCATGGAGATAATTCGTGACAGAAAATCCAAGAAGTTGTGGCTGTCACAAGAAAAAATATGTTGAACGGGTGCTTGAAAGGTTCAACATGAAAGCAGCCAAATCGGTAAGCTCACCTTTAGCCAATCATATCAAGTTGAGCAAAGAGTCGTGTCCAAAAACATATGAAGAAAAGGAGAAAATGGCAGTTGTTCCCTACTCTTCAGCAGTAGGAAGTATCATGTATGCAATGGTGTGCACACGGCCAGATATTGCTCATGCAGTAGGTGTGGTGAGCAGGTTTCTCTCTAATCCAGGGAAGGACCACTGGGAAGCTGTTAAGTGGATTCTCAGATATTTGAAGGGGACTTCTAAGATGTGCTTGTGCTTTGGCGGTTCCAAACCAATCTTGGAAGGATTTACAGATGCTGACATGGGAGGTGACCTGGATGGTAGAAAATCTACGTCTGGGTACTTGTTTACTTTTGCAGGGGGAGCCGTGTCTTGGCAATCCAAGTTACAAAAGTGCATTGCTTTGTCCACAACCGAGGCTGAATACATAGCCGCTACAGAAGCATGCAAGGAGTTGTTGTGGCTGAAACGGTTTCTCCAAGAGTTGGGTTTGAAGCAAAGTGATTATGGCGTTTATTGTGATAGTCAGAGTGCTCTGGATTTGAGCAAGAACACTACATATCATTCACGCACTAAGCACATTGATATTCGTTATCACTGGATTAGAGATGCTATCGAGAACAAGATGCTACAGCTGAAGAAGATTCATACCGATAATAATTCTTCAGACATGTTGACAAAGGTGGTCACAAAATCAAAGTTGGAATTCTGCATTAAGGCTGCTGGGATGGACTCCAGGTAACTTGGAGTCATGATCGGAATTCCTCCCTCATGGACTGGAGGGGGAGATTGTTGGTATATGGTCCAGCCCATGATCAATGTTCTAGATTATTCTAGTAAGCAAGAGAGATGGCTGGAGCATGCTAGACAATTCTAGCATGTTATTAAGTTGATGGAAGAAGCTAGAGAGTACTAGCTTCCTTGGTTGCAAATGGAAAGATCTAGAAGCCACACTTTTGTGGCTAGTCTAGATCTTTCTATGCTAGAGGTTTGAAGAATACACTAGAAACTAGTAGAATGCCAAACCTTCACCTATAAATATGGGTGTGATGTTGTAGTGAACCAACAAATCAAGAGAGTAGTGAGTAGCAAATGATCAAGTCCAAAGCTAGAGTTCCACTCCAAGAGTGAGAGTGAGAGTGTTCCACTACACATTGTGTGAGTGAAGTTTAGTGTGATAGAAAGTGTGTGTCCTACTTTCTTGTATCCATCAAGCCTTGTCTTTGGCTTGGTAAGACTACTCTTGTTGTACTCATCTTTTCATATAGTGAAGATTGATCCTTGTTTGGTGGACGTAGGCATAAATTGCCGAACCACATAAATTTTTGGTGTCCATTTTCTACTTTACTTTGTGCATTCTCTATCTTGTAGTACCGACATTCCTAACAATTATAAACCGGGAAGTTGTGTCAGTCTGGTGAAGTTCGTCTTGTTGGATGCTCAGGCAGAGGTGCTGGCTGCTAGATTAGAAAAACGAATTACAGAAGGGAAGCATTTCATGTCACCTGCACTTTTGCAGTCTCAGTTAGGGTTGCTTCAGATTGATGATTCGGAAGGAATACTTAAAGTTGATGCCACTCTTAACTCCTCAAGAAATTGTAAAGACCATTCAAAGATTGATTTTCGATTTAAGAGTTCAGAATTGTAATCCTTAGGCCTGTTCAGTAGCAGCCTCGCACGAAACTGTAGATTTCTTCCGGTTCATAACGTGTTCTACCAGACGAAACCGTAATTTTCCACATTTTTTATGCAAGTTTGATATTAAGATGCATTCATATTCCCGCCTCTTTCGAATGACAGAACCACAAGTGCTGTGAAAAAAACTTGAAGGTAAGGTAAAGAGAGAGAGAGAGAGAGAGAGAGAGAGAGAGAGAGCAGAAACACACAAAAGGTTCGGCAATGTGCCTACATCCATCCACGGGAAGCGAGACTGAAAATCCATTACTAAATAATTACAAGGATATGTACAAAGAATGTGGACTGAGATTGCCCTGTGATGCAGTCTGCAACTTTTGATGAATTAAATCTGATGCACCTTTTCATGTTTAACTTCTCATGTTCTTGAATCTTGATCAGCGATGCATCTCGGAGAAAGAATACTACAGCTCCATCTGATGTAAATGTGCAAAGGCGACTGAACGGAACCCTAAACCCTTTATCACGTTCTTGATCAGCGAATACGGTTCAGATGAGCAAAGGGCTCAGGGTTAGCTTTGGGAGCAGGTTTAGCAACCTCGGGGACCCCAAAAACGTTCCAGAATCTGAGTGTTTCATCACCAGCTGCTGATGCGACCGTGCAACCATCGGGGCTCTGCAGTTAATTCACAATATAAAAGGATGAGGATTTAGTGTTCTGTCAAAAAAACCAGAAAAAAAAAGCTTTTATATACTCAATTCAATTACAAGGTTGTCAGATTCATTACCTGAGCCATATAAAGAACTCTAGAAGTATGGCCTGTGAGCTCGGCAATTTTAGCCATCGAAGGGTATTTCCAAAGGGTGAGCTGATTCTGAGTAAACCCATGTGAGCTAAGCAGTTCCCTTTCATTCTTGTTCCACAGCAAAGCGCAGACCTGAGAGCCAGTGTCGACCGAGTTCAAGCATGCACCTGTATGAGTGTTCCAAAACTTTATGCACCGGTCACCCCCGCCTCCACCAGAAGCCAATAAATTGCCCTGGAAAGGACACCAAGCAAGGGCTTTCACTGCAGCTGTGTGATCTTCAAGCCTGTGAAGCCACTGAGTTGGTGAATTTGAAGATGCCACTGATCTGTCCCATATATGGAGAAGGTTGTCGTTCCCTCCGCTAGCCAATTGCTGGCCCGAGGCTGACCACTTCAGTCCACAAACCTCTTGCTCATGTCCTCTGTATGTCTCAACAATGTGTGATCTAATTCTTACATCATTGTTAACAATGCAACCGTCCATCCCTCCAGTTGTAAGAATGTGGTTGTTCCATGCCAAAGAGCCTACTCGTGATCTGTGGCAACCTCTCAAAGTTCTCAGCTACAGAAAGAAACAACATGACAAGAACTGTTAGCAAAAATGGCCACAATGTAATATAAAACAGAAGAGGAATATGATGACCGGTCCAAGGATAAATGACAACCAAACAAACCAACCTGCTTTTTAGCAACCGAATCCCATAACTGTACTTCAGAACTGTCCAGTCCAATGGCAATGTGGCGCCCATCAGGAGCCCAACTGACGCTGGTAACAGATCCTACTCCATCCTCAAATGTGACCAGTTCCGAAGTAGAACCATGGGAAGCATCCCACAAATAAACTGTGCTTGCAAGAGCTATTGCGAGGACATTGCAGCTTCCCCAATCCAACAAATTGAGGTAGTAATCATCCACAAGGTCTGGAGCATCCAATGTCTTCTCTGAAGTCTGCATATTGCATAAAATCATTAGTAGTCAGTTAAACACCACAACAATTTTTCAGGATAACCAATCAAGTTTAAGCAAATATATTCATGCGATCAGAATATAAAAAATATACGCACTTGAGGAATGTGCCTTCGGGGCTTTGTGGGTTTATCCTGTTGCAGAGAAGAGAACTCGCGTGGGAACATCTCAACAGGGGCAGGTGGCTTGTTCTTGAATGCAAGAATTCTACTCCGGTTCATGTTCATTGCCTCTGCCAACTGCTTCCGATAGGCCTCTCTGGATGGGGAAGAGACAGCTGGGTTTTCCTTACCTTTCCTACCTTCAGTTAACATCATGTTTGCGAAATCAAAATCCATTGCTGACCTGTTTGGTATGAACCTGTCCAACTGGGAATTACAAACGATGCACATCAGAACGTCGGTCAATTATAGAACCCCTAATTCCAGAAATCAATTCGACATCAGAAAAATGGGTCCCCAAACCCCTAACATACAAAATAACATAATAAGAAAAATTAATGAAAAGGGTATGAAAACTTTGAGTTTTAACGATAAGAACAAAATAAAGGGTAAAGTGAATAGTATCATGATTGACTTTTTAGTGTAAAAATGTGGTTTTTTTATAAAGTAAACAGTACTGAGAGCTTTTCGTTAAAGTTCCCTAATTAACAAGGTAATGAGATTCAGAAATGAAATTCCAACCAATAAAAACAATCCAAATCAAAGTACAACAGAACCCTAATTTCCAAAATCAAATTGATTGAGCCCTAATAAAGAACACAAAACCTAATTTCCGAAATCAAATCGATTAAACCCTAATAACGATCTATCGGTATAAAATTAACAACTCACATTTTCCCGAGAATTCTTTCTCTGAAGAAACTGTTCTTGAAGAGGGCACCTAGACTGCGACTTCAGGTTAGATGGAGAACTCATTGATCCTGCATCCATTACGTAAAATACCCACACAAAAAAAATATATGTATATATGCGAAAAATTGAAAGAGCAAAATTTAAAAATCCTGCAAAAAGATTAGTTAGTTTGCAAAATCAATCCTGCAAAAGAGGGTTAGGTTCAAGAAATCCCAAATCGAAAAATTGGACGGCGCGTGATGTGATAGATCTCTTAGCGTTGCAAAGAACTGCAATTTCAGAGAGAGAGAGAGAGAGAGAGAGAGAGAGAGAGAGAGAGAGAGAGCGTAACTGAATAATGATGGGTTGAATCAGTGGGTTCATATAGCGATGAGATGAAGGGGATGGCTTTAGGGTTTAGGAAAATGAGGTTCTGTATTCAGAAGAGTATCTCGGGCTACGGAAAACTTGCAACGGCTATGTATCCCAGAGAGCCGTTGAAAACTTGTGTGACGGAAATGCCCCTGCGTTTGCTTAGAGATACACTGCGCCGTTTGAGTTGGAACGCCTAATCTAGTAATTTTATTTTTATTTTTAATGAAAAATCCCTATATCACAATTATTATGGATATCAACAATTATTCAAGTATGTCTCATTCATTGAAATGGCCAACACGAGTTTTGAATCATCTTAGCCCCTTTTCTTTATTTTTACAAATGGCCAACACGAGAGATTGCTGGCAGCAAGATTAGAACCTAGGTCTTGTTCTAACGAAGAGAACGATTCTTACTAACTCAACCAACCATCGTTGACATTTATTTATTTATTTATTATTTTGCAAAGAAAGAGAGTACATGAATCAAAATATCTCATTTGCTCCATTTCTGCCAAAATCAATGGAAAATGAGAGCTTATGAATCAAGACATAGTCCATCCATGTAAAATTCGAAAATCTTATATAATCCATCCAGCTAGTATTCATCCACATTGGGTTGGCGGGATCCGAGGTTGCCCCATAGCTATTGCCCCTTTAGGGATAGAACCGCCGCATGACATATCACTGTTCTTTGCTGAGTTTAAGTTGACATAGTAGACAATTCCGAGTACCGCACTTGCAAATGACAAGAGGGCACCTCCAGCAAACACTCCGGGTTTCACAACGTAACAGTCGTAGTTGCCAGCGTACATGCTTCCTACACCATGCCGGTGATTGAGTGCGGCACCAGCAAGCAGCAGAAAAAACGCTATAACGAATACGAACCTGCCCAGTGGAGATCAGAGTTAAACACAGGCATTGTTAATCCAGCCGAAACAGATAGACAAGTTGCAAAACCCAGCTCGAACTGTACAGACAGACAAGTTTCCTTTTTCTTGCAAAAGGATAAAAAAAAATGCACATCTTCTAACCAGAGAAACAACAGCAGCAACAAGAATAGTAAGAAACTGGCAAGATAACAAAACGATGAACTCAACAATCTTGTTTAACATTTCCGCCTGTCGGAGGGCCAACCATCCAAACCAGTCATGCTTTTGTATTAGCTGCCTTAGTTATTTTCTTCATGAATGATACAACAAGTTGTAGTTGAGAATTACCTGGAAAAAACAATGTATAACCGTGCTACCGTCGAGTTAGAGTTGGAAGGCTGGGGCCTCCTTTTGCAACAATTGCCCCCGGTTGAAACATTTATAATTATTTGAGCTAACATAAGAGCCACCGCAGCAGTTACACCAAGTCCAAAAGCCGGAGTGTCAGGGTATTCACATTGACTAGTCGAGACAAACTTAACCTGAGAACGCTGCGGGTAGAAAATAAAAGTCACACAACATTTCAGCATCGATTCCACAATTCAAACTGGATGCCAACAAAACAGGAAAAAGCGCGGAGAAGAAAGAAAAGAAAAGAAAAAAACCAAACTTAGCATCAAGAGGCACTTGCTTAAAAGTTCTAAACAATCACTCCATACTGAAAGCTAACGACTTGTGACCGTATTCTAAACAGATTAAGGTCCATCGACAATAACTTTCAAATGGAGAGGAAGGCGTAAATCTTTCAGTCTCTCCGTTAACGTTCATTTCAGATCCTTATACAAACGCAACTCTTTTGACATTAAAGTTCCAAATGACGCAACTCTTTTGACATTAAAGTTCCAAATGTGCTATTATCATTATGTGCAACAAAAGAAAGACAAAAAAAAAAAAAAAGAAATGAAAGGATAGAACCTAAAAATGACAGTTCTGAGTTAAGATTCAAGATTTTTAATTGCATTTGCAAACATTTAACAAGTGTACAAACCGCGTTTTAGTTTACTGAAAAAATAGGCAAATCTTCGTCGATCGGCAAACTACACTAGTGAGTTTCCGAAAGATCATTTTGGAAGCCTGAAAGTTAAAGAATTGAAATTTGGAAGTTGAATTATAGACATCAAAGTTGTCACATCCCGGCCCGGCCCCCACCACATCCCGAGCTCGACTCTGTCGTAGCACGATATTGTCCGTTTTGAGCCCCGATCACGCCCTCATGTTTTCGGGAACTCAGACGAGAACTTCCCAGTGGGTCACCCATCATGGGATTGCTCTCGTGCGAACTCGATTAACTTCTGAATTCTGATAAAACTCGAAGCCAGTGAGCTCTCAAAATGCCTCATTACTAGGTAGAAATGAGAATATACATATAAAGCTTATAGGATCCACACTCCTGGACGACGTGGGATCTTACAAAAGTTAGACTGAAAATGATATTAGTTTCAAGTCTTCCCGAAAGGATGGAGAAGTCAGCTAAAACAAGAGCCATTTTATTGATTAAGCTAATCCAAATAGAAGGGCTGGGTCTGGCCCGTCTGAGGTACCAAATAACAATATGACAAGTGCTTCAGATTTCGGACAGGAACTTCGAACAGACACATTGCAACCCATGTGAAGAAAAGAAGATCTAAGCAAAACCCATATGAGCTTAGCTTTTACCTTGATTCTTGTGCTCTCGGCGCCGAAACCCGCAGCCGCAGATAGCAGCCCCAGGAGTCCCACAGCGCAGCAAACCAGAAGCACTTTTCTCTCCATGTCTGGCTTCTGCGTTCAGCCAAAAGCAGCTTCCCACTCACTCTTTTCTGTTTCTGGCTATTGGGCGTAGATTTTGGTGATTTGCCTTGAGAGTTAAGAAGAAGAGAAGACGTACAGTTTGTTGTGCGTGAATTATGATGTCCTGTATAGGAAGCTCAGGGACGTCCGCAACGAACCGGACAAGTAAAATGGCGGCAAAACAGAGGAAAACAATAAATGTTAAAACAATAATTTTACTCGATTAAGCTAGCATTAGCCTCTGTTTGGTTGAAGGGCATTTTAAATGTATTTATTATATATGTGTGAATTGACCAAAATGAAAGTTAAATATTTGAAGTAAATGAATAATCTTAGATCATGGTAGAAGAAACTCCTCAAAACCAATTAAAGTAATTCACATAATAAAATCGGTCTTTATTAACTTTATATTAAGAATAGAGAAAATATTTAATAAACAACTTATTGAATCGTATTATTACTAATCTATTGTAAGGCTAAGCTCACCTCCCTTAGTGTAAATAATATCGCTTATTAAAAAAAAACAATCATTTGACGACTAATTTGATCACATTATTATCTGCATGCGAAAAACATTTTTTATAACCAGCATTACACGCCTCTTAAGATGTTTTAAACGTGTTTAAGAATAGAGAAAATAATATTTAATGAACAACTGATGGGATCATATTATTGCTAACCTATTGTGCGGTACTAATGATTATAAAAAAAAATTAATTATTAAAAAAAAACTGTTAAAATGATGAAAATACCCCTGTTACATTTGATGCTTTTTTTTTGCTTGCTTTTGAAGTTTTTTGTTTAAAGGGCATTTTGTCCAATTTTTATTGGTGAAGCTTGTGACACTAAAAAATATTGTTCATTGAGCCCTTGGCTTTATATATAAAGATTTTTTAATTTGCTGATTTGGTTGTACACAGCTTTTGTCATCTTGTAAAGCAATTTTGTGATGAACGAAATTGTGCGGGAACTTTGTAGCAGCTTGTTGAGATCCTCGCAAATAACTTTCATAAGTTTTGCCAAATTACGCTACACTAACGTCTAGTCTAACAAAAATTATTGTTTGACAAAAAAAAATTAAAAAAATACAACACAACCAACTTACAACTCATGTAAGAAATTACCATGTCTAAATAAGATCTCGGATTATGGAACAACTTGAAGCGGAGAGCCGTTGAAAACTTGTGTGACGGAAATGGCCCTGCGTTTGGTTAGATGCGGGAGACCGTTTCAGTTGGAACCCCCATCTAGCAATTTTTATTTTGGTTTTATGAAAAATCCCTATATCACAATTATAAATAATTATTCAATTACGTCTCATTCACTAAAATAATACTATATCTTAGGCCCATTTTTTGTTTTTACAGATCGCTCACCAAGAGGGAGATTCGAACTTAGGTCTTGGTCTAACGAAGTGAACGATCCTTACATACTCAACCAACCTCCTCTGACATTTTTTTTTAATTTTGTAAAGGAAGAAAGTACATGAACCAAAATATCTCATTTGATCCATTTCTGCCAAAATCAATGGAAAAACCCGAGCTTATGAATCAAGACTTAGTAGTGTTGATGTGATCCGATTTACATTGTTCCAAGATGAATCTGATTTTGTGCATTAATAAGTAGTATTCCACGGTGGGATCCGAGGTTGCCCCATAGCTATTGCCCCTTGATTAGTTGTTTGCTGAATATAAGTTGAGACAATTCCTAGTATCACACTTGCAAATGACAAAAGGGCACCTCCAGCAAACACTCCGGGTTTCACAAGGTAACAGCGGTAGTAGCTGATTCCGCCATTCACTGCGGCACCAGCGAGCAGCAGAAGAAGCGCCATAACAAATGCAATGCGTGACAGTGCTACCGTCAACTTAGAGCCGCTGCAGCAGTTACACCAAGTCCAAAAGCCGGAGTGGTAGGGTATTCACATTGAGCAGGCGTGACAAACTTAACCTGAGAAAGCTGCGGGTAGAAAATTAAAGTAACAGAACATTTCAGCATCGGTTCCACAATTCAAACTGAACGAATGCCAACAAAACTGGAAAAAGCCGGAGAAGCATGAACAGGCACTTGCTTAAAAGTTCTAAACAATCACTCCATACTGAAAGCTAATGACTTGTGAGCATATTCCAAACAGATTGAGGTCCATCGGCAATAACTTTCAAATGGAGAAGAAGGCGTAAATCTTTCAGTCTCTCCGTTAACCTCCATCGCAGATTCTTACACAAACGCAACTCCTTTGACATTAAAGTTCAAAATGAGCTATTAGAACCTAAAAATGACTCTTGTGAGTTCAAATTCGAGATTTTTAATCGCATTTATAAACATTTAACACACTTACAAACCGCGTTGTAGTTTACTGAAAAAATTCGCAAATCTTCATTGGCAAACTACACTAGTTTCCGCACGGTCATTTTGGAAGCCCGAAAGTTAAAAGCATTGAAATCAAATAAGAAATTAAAGCTTCAAGCTTTGGAATTTGCACCCTTCAAGGATGAACAAAACCGAATAGTTAGCTTTTACCTCGATTCTCATGCGCTCGTTGCCGTAACGTGTAGCTGCAGATTGCATCCCCAGGAGTCCCACAGCCCAGCAAACCGGAAGCACTTTTCTCTCCATCTCTGGCTTCTGCGTTACGCCAAAAGCAGCTTCCAATTCACTCTTCTGTTTCTGGCTATTGGGCGTAGATTTTGGTGATTTGCCTGAAGAGGCAAGAAGAAGGGAAGAAGTAAAGAATGTTGTGCGTGAATTATGATGTCCTAGATAGGGAAGCTCAGGGGCGTCAGCAACGAACCGGACAAGTAAAAAGGCGGCAAAACAGAAGAAAACAAAAGATTGTAACTATAATTTTCCTCGATTACAATTTACAAGGTGGTTTAGATAAAAAGTTCCAAGTAAAATTCGTAAATTTTAAATAATCCATCAATCTAGTATTCAATTCATACGCATTGGGTTTCTTGGACAGTACGGTATGCACAGAATTAAATACAACCATAAGAAATCTACTGACGAAACGAATACAGGGATTGTGCAGAAAACAACCCATTTCCTAGAATTCCAACCATTACATCTTCAGAGACTGATCATAGGCTCATACCATAAACTCTAGTGATGTATTCCCCGTATCATGTGAATTGCCGTCTCATATACGTATCTTCATGGACAAATACTGGTTCTTGGGTCGTAGTACTCTGCGGTGGGATCTGGAGTTGTTGCCCCATAGCTATTGTCCCTTGAGTTGGCGCAGAACCGCCCCATGATGTATCACCGTTCTTTGCTGAATTTAAGATTACATAGTAGACAATTCCGAGTGCCACACATGCAAATGACAAAATGGCACCTCCGGCAAACACTCCCGGTTTCACAACGTAACAGTAGTAGCTGCCAAAGTACATGCTTTCTACACCATGTCGGTCATTGAGTGCGGCACCAGTGAGCAGCAGAAGAAACGCTATAACAAATGTGAACCTGCACCAGTGTGGAGATTGGAGTAAAACACATGCATTGTTAATCCAGTTGAAACGAATAGACAAATTGCTAAAGCCAACTCAAATCGTTCGAACAGACGTGTTTCCTTTTTCTTGTGGGAAAAATAATGTGCATGTGCTTTTAAACCAGAAAAACAAAAACAGCAGCAACAAGAAAGGTAAGAAACTGGCAAGATAACAAAACGATGAAATAACGAATCTTGTTTAGCATTTACGCCTACCAGAGAGCCAAATAGTCCAAACCAATCATGCTTTTGGATTACCCGCCTTAGTCATTTTCCTCGTGAATGATACAAGAAGTTGTAGTTGAGAATTACCAGGAAAAAACAAAGCAGAACAGAGCTACCGTCCAGTTAGAGTTGGTAGGATGGGGGCTCCTTTTGCAACAAATGCACCCGGTTGAAACATTTACAATTATGTGAGCTAACATAAGAGCCACTGCAGCAGTTACACCAAGTCCAAGAGCCGGACTCCGAGGGTATTCGCATTGAGTATTCGAGACAAATTGAACCTGAGAACCCTGCGGGTTAGAAATAAAAGTAACACAACATTCAGCATAAACAACGCCAACAAAACTGGAAAAAGCCGGAGAAGAAAAGGAAAAAAACAAAACAAAACTTAGCATGAAGAGGCACTTGCTTAAATATTCTAAACAATCACTCCGTACTGAAAGCTGACGACTTGTGAGCATATTCTAAACAGATTGAGGTCCATCGACAATAACTTCCAAATGGATAGGAAGGCGTAAATCTGTCAGCCTCTCCGTTAACCTCCATCTCGGATTCTTGCACAAACGCAACTCTTTTGACATTAAAGTTCAAACGAGCTATTATCATTATGTGCAACAAAAGAAGGACAAAAAATGAAAGCACAGAATTCAAGATTTTTAGCCGCATTGGTAAACATTTAACACACTTCCAAACCACGTTTTAATTTACTGCAAATCTTCATTGACAAACTACACTAGTGAGCTTCCGCACGGTCATTTTGGACGCCCGAAAGTTAAAGCATTGAAATCAAATAAAGAATTGAAATTTGGACGTTGAGCTATAAACAATCGAAAGTCTTCCCGAAAGGGAGAAATGTAGAAGTCAGCTAAACAAAAAGCCATTTTATCAATTAAGCTAATCCAAATAGAAGGGCCGTGTCTGGCCCGTCTGAGGTACCAAATAACAATATAAAAGGTGCCTCAGATTTCGGAGTGGAACTTCGAACACGCAAAGTGGAACTGTGGAAACAACAAAACTCCGTTTCGTCAAAGCAAATAAGAAATTAAAGCTTCAAGCTTTGGACTTTGGACTTTGCACCCTTCAAGGATGAACAAAACAGAATAGTTAGTAATAATATGAAATCCCTCTTCTACTTTTCTTAACTTCCCAACTTTTCCCAGCAACCAAACAGAGGGGCGGAGTATAACTAAGCAGAAAGCAAGCAAATTTAGACGAGCCCATGTGAAGAAAAGAAGATCTAAGCAAAACCCAGATGAGCTTTTTAGCTTTTACCTTGATTCTCGTGCCCTCGGCGGCGAAACCTGTAGCCGCAGATAGCAGCCCCAGGAGTCCCACAGCGGAGCAAACCAGAAGAACTTTTCTCTCCATCTGTGGCTTCTGGGTTCAGCTAAAAGTAGCTTTTGGTGACTTGCCTTAAGTGTTAAGAAGAAGAGATGACGTAAAGTTTGCGGTGCGTGAATTATGATGTCCTATATAGGGAAGCTCAGGGGGTCAGCACCGAACCGGACAAGTAAAAAGCGCCTAAAAGAGGTAAACAAAAGGCTAAAAATGTAATTTTAGTCTATTACAATTCACAAGGTCGTTTAAATACAAGAGGCCCAATGTGAAATGTCAGCCCAAGAAAAGGCCCAAAGCGAAAAAATACATTGGTAAACCAAACCGGGAATAAATATAGGATTGTTTTTCACACGTTCATTTTTATCTTTCACATGCTCTTATTAATTTTTGTCGTTAATCTTCTTCAATTCATGTGATTCACAGCTGAATATTAAGAAAGATGTGTGAGAAGTAAAAATAAATATGTGGATAGCACTAACATTATTGCAGTTATGACATGTTCGATTTTCAATTTTTCCACTTAATACCGAACCGGTTTAGCTTATATAATTTTGTATTTGTCTTTACACGTTTTTTTTTTTTGGGTCTCGTCATCACTTTCACCCTTTTCTCCAAGCCAAACAAAAATAAGCAGCCCAACCAAAACGGCAAAACGTATTGTTCTTGTAAATTGCTTGTTTTATAATTTCAAGTCAAACCAAACATTAAGCAGTATTTTTTTTTTCTTGAGATCTATTTAGTATAAATTTATAAGAAATTGTTCTTGAATCTCCAAATAAGGTCATATTGATATTGCGCATAGATCCGCAATTTCATTCAATCAGATACTAACATTACTCTCCAAGAAAGAAAATACTACCCTTATTGAATATATCTTTTAAATCTCAAAAACTCCATGTTGTTTTAAATGTGTGTTCATTGAAGACCATATACAAGCAAAGCTCAAACGCCGGCGAGACCAGCCACCAGGCCAATGATAACGCTGATCGGAGGCAAACTGCCACCAATGGCTTTCCCGGTGTTAATATCGTATCATGCAAACCGCTTCTTTGGTGCTAGACATTGAGGGCATGCGTACGCATCCGGCTGCAAATGAAATAGTATTATGCATTGCTTACCATGCACGTCAAAATCACGTAGTACACTGCTTGTCTAACCTAATTCGTAATTGGGGGAAATGAAGCTAATCAAATACCTGCTCATCAAAGGGCTTCTGTAATGTGTATATGAATCCACAGTCGAGGCATATGTGAGTAGCTCTAGCCTGAAAATTGTTCATGGTCCAATCAATCAATTAGTATTATTTATAGGGCGCGGAAAGTAAAAGATTACGGAACAAATAAAACACTGTCACATCAGTTGATGTCTTAAAAGTTGAATTTAAGTTATACGGACAACAAAATTGACTCTTGCCTTTTGAGTCTCGGTTAGTTTTGCATCCAAATCAAGGTGGAGCCAGTCACTTTGGCAGGCGTTTAACGTCTACAGTAGCACCACCTCTGCATTAAAAATGATCACAGCTAACTTCATTTTTCCAATCTAAAACAGTGTTATTAATTAAATCAAAACCAATTTATCTGCTAAGAGGAAATAAGAAATAGATAAGCAACCTGTTAACAACGAAGTAAACAGAGTCTGGCTTGGCATTGATGGCAGTTTTTGTAAACCCTAGTTTATCTGCTGGCCATACTTCATCACCAAAGACGCTGCTAGTGTAGAGGACTTGGTCCCCTGCCTTAAGCCCTGCCTTTGCTGCATTCCCACCTCCATCCACAGCCTAAACACAGTATCAATATATACATATACGTGTGTGTGTGTGTGTGTATAGATAATATAAGCTGCCAATTGTAAGTGATCATATCCATACGGGAATAGGTATTAGCATTCCAAAATACTCTTTCCTTCTTTATTTTTACCTGTAGGGCGAAGTGCAAATAACCCTTTTGGAGTGCGACTAATTTCAATCTCCCAACTTCATACAATAACATGGGATCGTTGGGACTTTTCTGTGGGAAGAACTTATGTTCAAAAGCACTTTCATTAGCAGTGTTTCTCTAGAAAGTGCTTATACGACTCAAAAACGCTTTTAAGTTTTTATACCAAAAGTAAACGGAATCACTTTTGATAGTCATAGAACACTTATAACTAGCTCTTCAAAAAGCAATCTCAACCAGTCCTAAATGGTGCAATGAAGTTAGAAAATGGAAGCTATTGATGTTAACTCACTGTGATGGTAACAGGACCTCCGGGCTTTTGACCCAAAGTGAGGCCTAATGGATTGTCCACCTCAGCCTCAATCGACTTGGGAGCCCCTGCAGTTCTTGCTGTAACCCTAAGCCCTCTTCCTCTCCCTACGTTGTTGTTGCCTAAACCACTCCTGTTATTCTCAGCAGCTACCAGCAAAGAATCAAACACTCCCCTTTTGGCTTCTCCAAGCGACAATCCTTGGAAGCTAGTTTTCTTTACACAGCAAGAAAAAATACAGAATCATAAGGCTTGTGTAATGGCGTAGCTCATGAAACTTACTTTAATTGGAATGCCGCTATAACACTATCTCAAGTTATAACACGCACTGCAATGCGTTTTAACTTTTTCATATTAGTTGACATCTCCATTGCAGAAAAGTTCTTCTTGTGCTTTGGGCATTGGATTAGAGTAGGTACCTACCTGGCATTGGATTGGTGCCAATTGTTTTGGAGTTGTGAACTGTGGAGTTCTTGTCGAGTGGTGCCTTTTGAATGCAGCGGAGCAAGAGGAGGAGGAGGAGGAAGCAGCGGCAAGCACCGCCTGTGACATGTTTAATTTGGACACACTACAGTGCGACTAGACAAAGAAGCTAGTGTGAGTCAGGCACACTCTCTACGGTCTGCCTTGTGTCTGGATGAAATTGTTGTGCCCAGAATTGCAGGGCCAGATAAACTTTGATTAGCCACGATTTGATTCAATGGCCAGCCACAAATTACAAGCACCAATTTTCTCTGGAATTAATTTTTATTTGTTCATTAGTTTTGAGCAAACTCCGTCCGTCTAAGTTTATCTTACATTGCCGGTCCTAAGCCCGGATAAAGGAGGAGGGGGAGGGCGTCAGGTAGTCGACAGTCGACACTCCTCGATTACGTCGAAGCCTTATGAAAATGAATCCAGAACGAAAGTGCAATGACGTTCTAGGATTCATATAGCCGATTCCACTTGATGAAAAAAGACTTTGTTGTTGTTTTGTTGTTGTTGTTCATTAGTTTTGAGCAGCAGGAGCATTCTTCAAAGGGTTGGCTCAACAAAGGGGATAAAGTTGGGCCGGCACCACGTTATAAGGGTTAAATGCTAACCAAGACTGGCCTACCACGTACTCAGCCCATCCAATTCCAAAGCCCAAGGTAACGATAAGTGATTATTAAATTTGCAAAATCAATATTGATAAAATTATTTAGACACATAAACGGCCTTGATATCTAATAGAGATGAAGCTTATCATGAAGAGGATGTGTTAATAAAAGTGTCGGTTTTGTGTATCTAAATTAGGCGTGAGCAAATGAGGCCAAGACTCGCGGGTCAGGATGGGTCAAAAGTTTATAAATCCAAAACGTGGAGGAGTGGGGGCGGGTCCACATATCTCTCAGTCACTCAGTCTCTCTCTATATCATCTATTAGACCATGAGCTCAAGCAGTCAACCCTCGAATTTCATTCTCTTGGTCTCTCCTCTTGAGCCATCTCCTCTCTCTCAAACCTTGATCTCTCCTCTTTTTCCAGACCTCGATCTCTCCTCCTGACTCACTCCTGCTGTCACAATCATCATTAGACCTCGATCTCTCCTCAAGACTCGCTCCCACCATCCCTGCCCTGTCCGCCGCCACCATCATCATTAGACCTCGACCCAAGATAGCTGAAATCCTCTAGCCCTTTTTCTGTCTACTTATAGGGAACTCCTTCATTTTTTGTGGCTTTAATTTATGAATGCATGCAAGAAATTGAAATAGTGAATACAATTGTGGTTGAAATTCTGCAAAGTTTTCATTTTCTTTATTTTTCTTTTTCTATTATCCGACCCGCCCCGCTCCATTTTATTTTCAAACAAATTCGGTCCGATCCCTCAGATTTTGGGCCCAGCCCAAGAGATGCCCACCCCTTTCTAAACAGTTTCACTCGAGAATATCTTATCAAAAAACGAGCTAATCACCAAAGGCCACCGCATAACAAACGCCGCCAATAATGTCGCTACGGCAATGAAAACGAGAACATTCCAAGAAGTCCGCGTCACGGACGCGTAAAACGAACCCAACCGCCAAAACTAGAAACGACGTCGCTTGGTACTAGCGAAGAGTACGGGGCCGTGTAGGTGGCGGTACGAACTGCAAAGAAGCGAGTCCGCTGCTGGGGTAGGTGGATGTAAAATATCAGACACCACCTTCCACTATATAAAACTGACCCATCGTCCAAATCATTTTAACACCAAAAGGCCAACCATCGCTCATTCCCTCTCTCTCTCTCTACACGCACACACACACTCACTCTCTCTCTACACCAGTCTTTTACTGTATGGCCGCCAATTCGAGCAGTCGAGGTATCGCGAGCTTGGGGAAGCGCCTTATCAACGAGATCCGAGCGCGCGATTCAGCTCAGCTCTCCGCTCTCACTCTCAGGTATCGATTTTGCATTTGATTCGAGCTTTTTCGCGTATTTGCGTTCAATTTCTGATCTATTAATTATGTGATGATCAATTTAAGTAGTTAATAATTTCATGTTAGAGGAGCTGCGATCTGATCATCTGAGTTGCTTCGGTGGTTTCTCGGTTGGAAATTTTGCTTTAATTTCTGGAAAAAAAAAATTGAAATTTATTGAACAGAAATAAATGATTAGTTAAGCTTAAGAGTGACTTTTGGAATCTATCCCTTCCTTTTGTGTGATCGTGGTGTGAGATTTTTCGCTGCCACACCTGATGCATAATATCGTTGACATTTTGATGCAGAGCTTATCAAATTTTGTAATTCCATTTTGGGATTTTGTAGTGTACTCCGTTAGATTCGTCAAAGATACAATGACCAAGATCTAACCGTTAAAAATTCCAAAAAATAGAATACTCCGGAGCATAGGATTTTCGTTTCATTTCAGTCAGCTTCGTTTTAATCGATATTTTGCTCTTTATGACTTTATCTTTTTAAGGGAAGGAAAGATAAAATTTAGAAACAAAATTAAATAATATATATATAGGCATTTTCGTACCAACAACCAAGGGCCTGTTAGCCGTGGTACTCGCTGGGTGCGGGGTTCGGATAAGGACATGCTGCCACTGACTAGGATCCTCATTGGACAATTGTTCACCATAGCATGAATATAATAAATAAATAAATAAGAGAATTGAGGAAGAAAAAATAGAGAGAAAGGAGGTTACTTTTGGTAATTAGGCAACATAATTACGTTTATGGTTTTGTTTTTGGAGTAAACCATGGTGATGATCATATTTCGGAATCCTTAGATCTTTTGCGGATATTTATCTTAGGGTGGTTTGGTTTTTTCAGACATATATATGGCAGTAAACCTTTCAATAGCGATAAATGTGGATGTGCATGTGCCTAAAATCTAGTGTCATTTTCTTGGCAAGATTCCTTTAGTGAAATATCAACTTCAGATAAGAACTAGATAAATTTTTAGGTGCCTTGCATTTGCAGTTTCAGATTTATAATCTTGGAATGGTCCGTCTAATAGCATGGTTTCAGTTCGTTTTTATTTCGTTTTCTTGAGATGTATCCAATTGTATGACGGTAATCTGTTTTTGTTTTTGTTTCTGGGTTTGAATTATCTTTTGTTTTCTACTCATGTTCATAGATACATACATGTTTTGGACCGAGTGTTTTTGGTATAACAATAACGGAACTGTGAGACTCCACCGTCCACAGTACCATACTTGTCGCCTATTAACATTAATACTAGTAATCCGCTTACTTTGACTGAAGATTCTTTATTTCTTTGGTCAGATATTTTATTTATAATTAGTCGTATTACTTAATTCGGATGAATGACCGTATACACACTTGCCTGCTTCAGGACAATAGGCCGGCGAAGTTCTGTGTGAGAAATGCCATACCATACAGTATTAGTTTTGGAATATAAAAATCGTTGGGTCAGTCTAGTAATTATCTACTATTAGATAACATGTTGGGTGACACTATCTGGTGTAAAGTCACATGGTTGGCATCGATACCTACCCTTAAACAAATCCTTTTATGCTTTGGCCATTAGGGAATCTAATTAAGATAAAACCGATGCCCAACTTGTTTGGAAAGCAGGTAAAGAGTACAAAAGTTGAAAATAACTAGCTAGATAGGGCATTTGCGGTATAGTTTGTTCCCATGCTTGATGGGAATGTGTTGTCTGTCCCCATCTTTTAAACATGGCTAGCTTAAGCTGCACTATTTGTGGTAAAGTTGTCCTCATGCTTAAGCTGCATATTCCTAATTGCTTCCTTCATCCTTTCTTAAGTTGCCTTTTGTTTACTATTGGGAAGAATTAGTATCTTAAGACATTTTTAGGAAGAGCGGGAAATAAGTGCTTTTACTTTTAGTTTTCATTTTTCGTAGAAATATTAGCCGCTAGGCGGACTCAACTACCATCTCAATTAAGTTTGGCCTAACTAAATTTAAATACCCTCTTGTATGTATATATAATTGATCGTATTGATATTCAGGAGGGCTGCTCACACCTCGACTTATGACAAGAACCCGGAGGAACAAACTCGACCCAGCTTTGTTCCAGATGATGTGATCCCACCCCAACCGGACAAGTACTGGGCTCCACATCCCCACACGGGGGTGTTCGGGCCTGAAGCTGAACACACATCTTCCGCAGGCAGGGAGGACGGCTCCTCCACGGGCGATGGTGGGGAGGGATCCTCGGTGATGGAGCAGGAGGCGTGGTTTCGTCCTACCAGCATCGAGGACTTGGAGAAGCCTCACCTTCCCTAACTCCGAGGCAACATATGAACTATATATATTATAGATAAATAATGTATAGGCGTGCTGCAGCGGAGGCTGCCTATATATGTGCTGTAGTGCTAAAAGTAGTAGTATTCTGTGTGCAAATACCGGTTGGTAGCAGAGCTGGAGTTGACTGTGTTACATATTATATGCAACTTAATGGTTACCTACCCTATGCCAATGGCTGTGTATTTCTAATTTTCTACGGTATCTTTTCCGTGAATAGAGGGATATGCCTTGTGAATCAATGGTTAAGATGCCAATCAGTTAGTGCCACGTGAAATTTGGCAAAACTCAATTTCCTTCATCATGACAAAATTGCTTTACCGGTTAGAACGTAAAGTTTCAGCTATATTAATGAACGTGTTCTTTCTTATATGTAAGAACACGTTTATATATGATTAGTGTCCTATTTCATACTAATTTCTAAAAAAATAATTTTAGGCTCTGGGGTCTACTCAATCCTCAGAATGAGTGGATAACCGTGACTTACCACTCATTGTCCCTAAAAAAACAAATAAACAAGAAACGCAAAATGTTCATTTCAATGTATCTCCAATCTCCAAAGCAACTTTCCATATTGCTCACAGATAATAAATACTTTAATAAATATTAAAATTATATACAAGAGCTGTAAGTGCGTGCCAAGAGGTATTCAAAACTTGAAACAAACAATGATTACATGGGTGTGGTGGAGATAATAATCGTCAGGACTCAGGGTGACAATATAATGTCGGTAAAGCTATATATCTCATTGCCGAAATCGCGGGAGGACCGAAAACTGGCACTTCGAAACGCCAACTTTTCCAATTCATTCCATGTACGGAACGGAATACTGTTTTGAGTTGCAGCACTTCGAAAGCCCAATTCTTCCAAACCAATGGCTGCACAGGAACCAAGTTGGTAGCTCATCAAATCGACTCGTCCTCTCAAGTCCGAAGCGAGTGCTTTCGTGTTGCACGTACCCGGTGTTGTCCACGTTTCCAACGGCTAAACCTGAAGCATGTTTCATCATCTGTACAACATATGTGCTCTCGCAGCCCGTTGCGATTATCAGTTGTGTGGTATAATGTGGCAAAATCAACACCCCATCTGGCTTCAAGTGTTTACACTACCATCATCCCGTATGGCCTGAGGAAGCATTTGATAAACCAAAATCAAGGTCAATCTGGTAGAAACCCATACGAGTAGGAGTCTAGGAGTCTGAAACGTAAAGTGAACAAGAAAAGAAACGAAAGAGAAGATAAAAAGGCTCACCCTAGTTGGACTGCTGAAAGGATCATAGGCCGTGTCCATACCGGACTGCCCTATCACATTGCATCACAAACCAATCCATTCACTATTACTCACAATACCTCTGTTGAAGGACCATTAAAGCAACTTGTAACACCTGTCTAGCCTTTCTATCCGGAGTGCATCCGGCGCGTTCCATTTCCTTGTATATCTCCAGGACCTGATCAAGAAACCGCTTGCAATTTGAGAGATTTAGAAAAGAAAACAAGCTTCCTACTCTCTCTTGAGATGAGAGTTGGAGTGGAGACTAGAGAATTTAAAAGTTCAATATATAGCACCTTATCAAACTTCCTTGCCCGACTAAACGCCTTCATAAGTGTAGTATAAGTAACCACATCAGGGCTAAAACCCTTCAAAGAAAACAAAAGCAGCACCATTAGAAACTTAGCTGAAAAGTATCACGAAAACTGAATTGGTTGAAAAAATTCAAGATATTTGACATCGCAACTAGAGAAAATTTAGGCAAAAACAAGACTTACACTTTCTTTTATATAGTGATAAATGGATAACGCCTCTAAATATCTACCAGCAACACCGAATGCATTGATCAGCACATTCAGCATTATGACGTTTGGTTCGATTCCCTCAGCTTCCATAAGCTGGAGTACCTTAACTGTCTGATGACATAATCCCTGCATTAAAAAGAATAAAGACATTGTGATATGCACAAGATATGGATATGTTTCGAGATATAATGAAATTCAATGAAAACAATGTAAGAGAATCGGAAAACCTGCTGAGCGTAGGCATTTGCTAAGACACAAAACATGCTAGCTGAAGGAATAAGACCTTCAGCTTTTAGGGCAGATATACACTCTTCAGCATCCTGAAATTTTCCATACTGCCCATAAATATCAACCAAAACAGCATAAATTATCCCACTTTTCTTATGCCCTCGGCGTTTCATATTCTCAAAAGTCTTCTGGATCACATCCCACTTCCCCTGCTCCCCCAATCGGCTGATAACGGTGACAAAGATCTTTGGATCAGGATACAACCCCTGTTCCTGCATCTCTGTAAACAACTCAAGTGCCTTGCTTATATTCCCTGCCTTACAATGCCACCTTATCAATGAATTAAATGTCGTTATATCAGGCTTCACACCTTCTTGTTTCATCTTATCAAATACTTCCAAAGCTTCGTCCAATTCACCATATTTCCCAAACGTATCAATAATGCTGTTGAAAATCTGTTTATCCAATGCCATCCCCATCTCCCTTATCTCTCCCACAATGTCCATTGCCTTCTTCCACATCCCATTGTCCCTGTAAAGTCCTATAACCTTGCTATACACAAACGAGCTCAACCGAAACCGCTTCCGCTTCATCTCATTAATCGTTGACCAAGTATCTTCCAACCTCCCGGCACTGACATAGTAATCAAGAAGAATCTCATACGTCTCTTCATTTTTCTCCGCAACCAAATCGCCCATTACTGCCAAAACTCTAGTTGCAAGTTCTAAGAGGCCTTTCTTCAAACACCCTCTGAGCATAACATTGTAAACCCTGATTCTTGGCCTCAACCCAGAACATATCATTTCCTGAAGCAACACATCGGCCTCCAAAGTCCTGCCATTGCTCCCGAGGCCCTCAATCAAATGAGCGTAAGACATCGAATTGGGTCGGACGCCGAGAGCTTCCATTTCTGCAAGAACAGCCATTGCCTGGTCGATATGCCCTGCTCTGCAGAACCCACTTATCAAATTGTTGTATGATTCGCCGGAAAGTTCCTCTCCGGTGGTTTGAGCAATTAGGTAGTTCGGAATTGAAGTGTTTTCGTCACTGGGTGCTGTAAATTTGAAATCTTTCGCGTTCTTGGTACGATTCGAGTGAGTGAAAGAAGCGTGGAAATTGTACGTCTCGGAGTGTTTGAGGCATCTCGGACAGAAGAGAGAGAGTGGAGTGATTGCGAAGCTGCCTGCGGATGAAAGTGAAGGTGAGTTACGACACCAAATGGACTGCACCAGCATTGCCATGCTCTCATAGGCGCCAAAGATTTCAGTGTTTTTGTTTGCTTTTATAGGACCGCGGTTATATAGGAGGCTGACCCAACCTGGTGTCTTGGATCGAGTCCTAAACATATTCCAACAACGGAATCTTTTTAATAGGAGGGATCCCTATTTTTCTAAAAAAATAGAGACACTTTCTTAATCATTGGATTTGATTTTAATGAAATTGTGTGGTCTGAGATTTAATCGTAACCACACAATTTCATTAAAACCAATCCAACGGTCGGGTGTCCCCATTTAAAAAAAAAATGGGGATCCCTCTTGTTAAAGGACCTGTTCCAACAACATCTACTTTTGTTTGTCCAAAAATAAAAAACATCTATTGTGATTTGGAATAAAAAAGATTTATTTTGGACATGTGAGACTTAGCTAACTCCTCTACTCCTTTAATGTGGGTTTAAAAAAATATTAACGTTTAGATGAGAAAATTTAAGGTTGCTAGGGAATTTTAAATGACGGAATTTTTTTCCAAAAATTTGTAAATTTTCTTGTGATGAAAAGAACAATGACATTTAACTATGAAATTTTATGTGTATATTGTCATTAATATATAAATGAGGCATTGTAATTAGGAAATGCGTTAGTAGTAGTGGCGGCGGCGATGGTGATGATAGTAGTGACATGGGTATGTGGCGGTGATCATGTTGTGTTGTGGCAGAGAAGACGGCATCGATTATGACGATTGTATGGCGATGACATGTGGTGGTGGTGATGATGGCCACTCATGGTTGTATTTTTTTATTTTTAAACTCTCATCTCTCTCTCTCTCTCTCTCTCTCTCTCTCTCTCTCTCTCTCTCTCTCTCTCTCTCTCTCTCTCTCTCTCTCTCTCTCTCTCGGTTAGCATTCAGCACTCCAATTATCTTCTGCTAAATCGAAGATCCCCTCACTCAAGTTAACTTATATATATGCGCATCGTATCCACCCAGTCCACTGAAGTCTTTTTCAGAAGAAAACGAAATGGAACGACATCCCTTGAAGTGGAGAATATTCATCCTACTAGCTTTGTACAATTTTATTTTGATGAGTTTCATCTCAAACAATTGTATTATTTGGACTAGCTTTTTGTACAATTTTATTTTGACGAGTTTCATCTAAAACAATTGTATTTTGAATGACATCATTTGTCCTATTAGTTTTGTCATTAAAATTAGTTTTTGTTGGATATTGACGAAATGATTTGATATGATTCGTATATCCATATAAAGTTAGAATCATATGCTGATGAAAGATCAAGCTCGCATAGTTTAATTACCAAAAAAGTTTGATTACACATATTTTGATTACCATAATCTCCAGCTAGTTACAGATCTATTTATGATAAAAACTCCTTACATGATCATACAACAGTAAAGATCTAGGTCATGGAAGCTTACTATTAACCTATGAAGGCGTAATCGACATTGGGGTTTTAAGTTTATGTTTATGCTTTTTAAATTGGAATTAGTTGAGTCTGTTTGTATTAAAAAAGGGGAGTTTAAAGTTTTAATAAAATATTTAAAAAGAAATGATATATATGGAAGTAAATAAGTAAAAGTAGGATTCTCTCACCTATTAATTAAAGCAAAAATAAAAAAAATAAAAAAAATAAGGCTTAACTAGATTTAGTGTGGATTATATATGGCAAGCATTGAAAGATGTGGTAAGCATACCCTATAGTTAGTGTGAGTGAGCAAAAATGCACCCAAAATAAAAGACATCTATTGTGATTTGGAATAAAAAAGATTTATTTTGGACATGTGAGACTTAGTCAACTCCTTTACTTTTGTTTTCTCTTCTATTATGCAACATTAATATTTCATTTTTTTCGGTAGGAGACACAGTGAGTTGGAAAAATGCTTATATTTCTTATTTTTGGAACTCTTTATCATTGTTTCTTGAGTGGTTTTCTGGAAGTAAGAAAAGATGGGCATTTGTAAGTCCTATCAATTTTCAATTTTTATTTTTCTTGCTTTTATTTTAGCTTCTTATTACTGATTTTAATTTTGGGTGTATTTTTTACGATGGTTGTCAAACGATGTTGTTTTGACAGGTTTGATCAGGTATACAAGCATTTGATAGTACATACATGCAGAGTGCTTCACAATTGAAACGGAGTAGAATGGTATTTTCAGGTAATTGTCGAGATTTTTGTTGATCCCCTTTTGTCTTGATGCTAATTTACGGTTCTTATCATGTAAATTGGTTGATTAAAATGTTAGTGTATGCAAAAAGGCTGTTGATGCTGCCGGTTTTTTTCTGTAATCGATTTAGGAGTTGCTATTGTATTCTTAAGCATAACGTCTGACTGCCAATGACATATTATATTGCTTTCTACAGCTGCTAGTGCCTAAACCTCCAACAAAATGGAAACTTTTGCCAAAACAAAAGGTAAATCGTTACTGCAAGAGCCGAACAGTACCTTTCCTTTGTTTGTTTTTTCTTTCTTCTACTCCCCCTTCAAGGCTTTGTTTTGGTTCTCATATGTGGCCATTTGGTCATTGAGAAATGTAGTTGGATTTAAGATTTTGAGAAATTGGAACATCTTTAGGAAAGTGACAGAATTTGGGATTGAACCTGTCAAGTTGTTATAAGAAAAGTCATTGGTATCCACAGACATGATTGCTATCTGTTTGAATTTTGTTACAATAATTTCCCTTGAGCATAATGGTTGCACTGAATTCATTTTGTGATGATTCAATTTTGGGTTTGAAAAAATGCTCACTGTTTGAAATTTGAAATTCTGTTGATTTTCCATTCAGGGTGAACAAAAATATCTCCAGGATTCCCATTTTTTTAATGGCGTTGTTAAGGTAAATTTTCGTTATCCTTCTTGCAGATTAATTTTCGATGGATTATGTCTTCTGAGTAGTATACAAGCCGGACATTGTATCTTTGAGAAAGTTTATGGTGTATAGTTTCTGCATAAGTTTATTTTGGGAGTGTTATATAACCGTGTATGGAGCTTCGTGGTGCATGCACTGGAAAATTTTTGATTTAGGATTTTTCGATTTCCTCCCTGTAGTTGTGTTTGGACCCATTTTTACAATATCGGCTCGAGCAATCAAGGCCGTCGGCTGAGCAGGGTTTTAGGCCGTTGAACGACAAAGTGGTTGAAATAAATTATGATTGAGATAATGTTGGGATTTTAATCATAATTTATTAAACCTAGTTTTTATCTAAAACCCCAATTTATTCGTAGGATGGTGGGGCATTAGAATCCTAATGCATTACTGATTATTGGCGAATGGTTATGGATTGGTATGGATTTTTGCGCATGCATAAAGATAAGGATGCCAATTTGGATTTAATCAGCCGCATGATTGGCGTTGGTCAGCCATACATGCATATTATTGGCATATTTCAAGGCGGGAAGCTTATTGGCATAAAGGGATATGATCCTTGGCCAAAGGATATAAGACAAATGTACAACCAGATGCAACTCCACAAGACAGAGTCCAATTAGGACTCTCCAAGAGTATCAAGCGGACGGGTGTAACTTTCACTATAAGTAGGGAGGGTTGCACACCATTCAAAGCCCTACAAAATCAATACAAAATTGCCCTACGCAAACTCTCACAACTTGTGATTTTTCTTTTTCTTTTTTCGCTGACACATCTTCCGTTGGCATCAACAGCACTGTGAAGGCAACCGGTGATATCTTAAGTCGGCATAGATAGCTCTATCACCGTAGAATCAGCCGATCTCGCAGCATCTTCCGTTGGCATCAACAGCACTACGGCGAGGACGACTGGTTACCTATCCAAGTCTCGGTCGAGAAGGATTTCCGAATCCTTATTGGTCGAGGTCATCTCATCAGCCTTCTCGGCGAAGTGAGGTGTTACCAGGTTACTGTATTCGGCACGTTGACAACCGAATTTGAGATTGAACTTCGCAAATTAGCAGCCTTGTCTTCAGGCTCTAGAACCCAAGAGGTCGAGAATTGTTTATTCCTCGGCCGCAATCGCAAGACACAGAAGTCAGCAGCGCGCTCAACGCAACATCAACAAATTTACTCATCGGCCGAGCTCGGCCGACGAGTTGGCACGCCCCGCAATCACCGAAGGACGTAGTTAGCTTAGAAAATACTCGGCCTGCGCGCCACGTAGGCTCTGTAGTTTCTAGGGTCAACATTTTGGCACGCCCTGTGGGACCCAGTGCTAATACTACGAAGTTCATATGATATATCAAGATTCCAATCTGGCTCAACGTAGCCGATTGTACGAGCTCCTGGAGGAATTGAAAAAACATAATGAGGAATGTAAAAAATCTTTGGAAGCAGAAAAAGTTCTTCGTGGCCATAGAGAGATGCAAAAGTCATTCGCTTGCATGTTGAAAATAAAAGCTCCTGTTATCCTACAAAGGCAATGGGTAAATGAAGACAGGGCTCGATTTAATGTCTGGCTAGATGAAGAAAATTTTCCTTACGTTTCCGACTACAGATCAATTCCATTTGAAAAATGGTTAGGCCCAAAGGCCGGGGGGCAATTTTTCGCTTCGGCCGTAATCAGACATCGGCCTAAGAAAATTGTTAATTTGGCCGAAGAACAAAAGCCACCTATTTTTTCGGTCGAGACCGAAAGTGTGGTAGGCCTAGAAGAAAAAATTCAAGTTCTTGAGCTAGATACAAAAATTGACTTGGAAAATGATTCGTTAGAGGAATGCTCCAATGACGAACGAGGCCAAGATATTGGCCTAGCCCAAGAAACTACGCCAATTGATATGATTATTGGTAATAAAGCCGATATGGAGAAATCCTGTTCGGCTAAGTTGTTTGAATTAAAAGCCGAAATTATGCCTGGGGGGCATAATAATTGTTCAATACATTCGGCGGCCGAGAATGAAAAATATTTCTCCAAGTCAAAAATATTTGGAGGAAATTCTTTATTCGGCCTAGAGCGAAATCAATTTGAAGATTTTGTTATTACAAGATCTCGACTTGGAATAAAGCATCGTTGGCCTCCTCCTGACTATGGTTCAGCCACTTTTCTTTTCGTTTGTTAAATATATATATTATTTTCTTAAACATACGGCTATGCAAGCCGATGCGTAAGAAAATAAGGGGGGGCAACAAATATATATATATTTATATATTATTTCAAGCCAACATCATTGTGGCCTGATGCCGTGTGTGTATGGGTGTTTATATATATATATTAGCTTTTGGCCGAATGTGTCTATATAGGCCTGATGCCGTGTGTGTGTATGGGTGTTTATATATATATATGGGTGTTTATATATATATTAGCTTTTGGCCGAAAAAAAAAAAAAAAAAAAATCATTCGGCCGGCTCAAAGTGAGTGCATGGCAGCCTTATGCATTCACTCACATAACAATCTCGGCATAGATACAAATTGGAGTCTCGGCCAAATCATTAACCTCGGCCCAATTTGTTATGGTTCTCACCAAGCTCGGCAGGTCCATCAAATTTTTGCCGAGTCATGTATTGAAAAGGTTTTGCTGTTCGACGATGATCTCCGCTGGTAAATGAGTTGGTTTCGTATTACCGACGCATGGGCTGAGCTACCCAGTATATGTTGTTGAGCTTGGCTTCAGTACGACGAGTTCGGTTGTGTCCAAAGGTTTTTTTTTTTTTTCGACCGAACGAAGTAAAGTGGTTTTATTTGTTTTCCCTGGAATTCAGCGACCAATCTTTATTCGATGGTGGGTGCTAGACGGTGGCTCTCGGTGATGACTCGGCAGGTATTGATTTGGCCGAGAGGAGTTTATGAATAGAGAGGATTCATCATTCGATGATATACGGCTGGGTCGAATTATATATATATATATATATATATATATATACACATATATATAGGCAGGCCGAATTCATAGGGACCATTTCTTATCGACCTCGACCTCAATTCTTCTCGGCCTCGGCCCACTTTACCCTCGACCCCAGTTTTGTTGCTATCTCACAGATGGTGGCTGAAAACAAATGGGGATGGTAGGTCATTTGGCATTGTGTTGACTGAGGGGACCATAAGGCTACCAAGATTATTACTTATTTGATCATATTCAAGACGTGTCATGCTATGGAGTGGACTCCTCGACCGTACATTTCTTCGACTGAGCTAATTTCCTTAACCATTCGGCCTACGGGCCGAAGCTCAAGGAAACTGGGAGGCAATGTTTGGACCTATTTTTACAATATCGGCCCGAGCAATCAAGGTCGTCGGATGAGCAGGGTTTTAGGCCGTTGAACGACAAAGTGGTTGAAATAAATTATGATTGAGATAATGTTGGGATTTTAATCATAATTTATTAAACCTAGTTTTTATCTAAAACCCCAATTTATTCGTAGGATGGTGGGGCATTAGAATCCTAATGCATTACTGATTATTGGCGAATGGTTATGGATTGGTATGGATTTTTGCGCATGCATAAAGATAAGGATGCCAATTTGGATTTAATCAGCCGCATGATTGGCGTTGGTCAGCCATACATGCATATTATTGGCATATTTCAAGGCGGGAAGCTTATTGGCATAAAGGGATATGATCCTTGGCCAAAGGATATAAGACAAATGTACAACCAGATGCAACTCCACAAGACAGAGTCCAATTAGGACTCTCCAAGAGTATCAAGCGGACGGGTGTAACTTTCACTATAAGTAGGGAGGGTTGCACACCATTCAAAGCCCTACAAAATCAATACAAAATTGCCCTGCGCAAACTCTCACAACTTGTGATTTTTCTTTTTCTTTTTTCGCTGACACATCTTCCGTTGGCATCAACAGCACTGTGAAGGCAACCGGTGATATCTTAAGTCGGCATAGATAGCTCTGTCACCGTAGAATCAGCCGATCTCGCAGCATCCTCCGTTGGCATCAACAGCACTACGGCGAGGACGACTGGTTACCTATCCAAGTCTCGGTCGAGAAGGATTTCCGAATCCTTATTGGTCGAGGTCATCTCATCAGCCTTCTCGGCGAAGTGAGGTGTTACCAGGTTACTGTATTCGGCACGTTGACAACCAAATTTGAGATTGAACTTCGCAAATTAGCAGCCTTGTCTTCAGGCTCTAGAACCCAAGAGGCCGAGAATTGTTCCTTCCTCGGCCGCAATCGCAAGACACAGAAGTCAGCAGCGCGCTCAACGCAACATCAACAAATTTACTCCTCGGCCGAGCTCGGCCGACGAGTTGGCACGCCCCACAATCACCGAAGGACGTAGTTAGCTTAGAAAATACTCGGCCTGCACGCCACGTAGGCTCTGTAGTTTCTAGGGTCAACAAGTTGTTTTATGTATGGTGGATGAATTGAATTTGGAAGGAAACCAACTCAATGGTTGTCTTTTTCTTTTTTATTTATTGCAAGAATGCTACTATAAGAATGGCATATTTTATCGTATGACAGTCATTGAAGATTTATCTTGAATCTGGACAGGTTTTTGTCAATTGTTAATTACGAAGGTTGTGACTGTTCGTGCTGGCACCAAAATAAAATTTGTAGAAGGTTGCTGACTGACGATAAAAGGTAGCTTGCAATTTTTATTTTAATGAATCTTATTAAATGCATTTGAGTACCACATAAATTTAATCAATTATTTTAGCAATTAGGAAAATCACTCTCTTCACTAAAACTGTTATTCATTTACATTAACAACTTTTATTTTTCCAAATTGTAACAGAGAAGCATGTATATCATGAAAAATAAAAGACGGAAGTTCTGAAGTGACGACCAAGAAAGTTTAGAAGTGTAATATAGTTGTAAACATGAATGTAAACCAGGGATGAAAAATGTTAATATAATTCTAATTCTGTATGACTCATTTGCGAATTTTATCTAAATTTGAATAATCTTTTATCTACGTGTATAGTTACATTTGTGATTTGTTGTTTATGTGGTAAAAAAATAAGATGGCTTTATACTTTTTTATGAGACTTAATTTTGAGTTTTGAATTTGAGTTCTCATGCAAGAAGAAAGGTCACTTGAGTTTTGAGTTCCCATATATTTTCATTGTTTCATTTATACATCTGTTGGAAGATTGGAGGGGATTGGGAGGTAGATGAGTGAGACTTTTGAAGGTTACACAGAAATAAATGGGAATATTCTGTTATTAGAAGCAATTACATAGAGTTAGGCCAACTAAATGGCTGGACAGAAAAAATGGTCCTAATTGTTCACTCTCTAATGATGTTGGCAAGTAACGTTGATTGTTCTAAACGCTGGCGGTGCTTCTGCTTTCCACAATGTAAGCCCAAGATTATGCAATGGTGCTCAATTTGGATTTGTTGCATGGCTAGAAAGATGATCTTGCAAGAATTGTTGAAGACAGTTATATGCCAAGGTATTGATTCTTTCCAATCCCAGTTTTAAAAAACAGTCAGATTTATATATATTTTGCATCATTATAATTAGTCTACTTGGGTTATCTTAAGAGTACAGAGAACAGCCAACTACATGGGGAATAAATCTTTCTTATAGCATGCATATCCATATATAGCAAGCAAAGTTTCACTTCGTTGGTTCTTAGGCACTAGACCGTCTTTCCTCATGAATTCTTGGCATCTTATTTTCTTCTTCTTATTGGGGTGTTTTACAGCACTTCAAGGAGCTTCCTTAGTTTGTTGTCAAGGCTGGTTCAATTTTAAGTAATATTTATGGTGTAGATTTGGAAAATAAACTTGAGGTATTAATTTTTCAGAGATAGTTTATGCTTGAAATTAGCCGTGTTTTTATGTCTTCCAACATTCTGTTCGTGCATGTTTGGTCTCTGAGATTTTGTTTTTAGCCATTGTTGATTTATAGTTTATGTCTCCTTTGGCTACATATTGACACATGTTTATTCTCAGCATTTTTTTGTTGGGCTAAGTGGTTTGGTGAGTTCTGTATTTATTATTTAATCTTAGGGGCTATTTTAAGTAAAAATGAAATGTTGGCATTGATATAGCATATGGCACACTTAATCCACACTCCTATATTCTGTCTTCTTGCTTCCATTGCAACACTCTGCATGTCCCACCCAATGGTTTTTTTAATAATGATGTAGTTAAAACGCAATTAGGTGCTCTATCAAGTATGTTTTGTTTATAGTAGTGGTAGTTGCAAGGAAATGAAATATTTGTGTAGATAATTGGTAGTTTAAATATATAGAAATAGAGAATAATTATAAATGGAGCACCTAGGATATTTAACATTGATTTCTTTTCCATGTAATTTTTCTCATGTTTAACATCTGCTTTTGTTTAAGCATTTGATTCAAGTGCTATTTTTATTAGTGTTAATTTCGGGTTGCATATCCACAAACTAACCTAGTTTATTTTGCTTAGTGCTGATGTATAAGTAGAACTCTCATTGCATCAACTTGAACATTCCTGCTTAGTTGCTAAGCCTGTTAATTTTTATGCTCTATTTGCCTTCTCCATTTCCAGTTGAATGAATTGGTTAAAGTGTCTTACTATATAACTTCCTTTTGTATGATCCTATACTATATATCTCTGTTGTTGCACTAGATTTAACCTTGGTTTTTGACTAATATCTAATGGTGAACCATGCAGTGCTTTTATTGAGGAGTTTCAGAACTGGGACATGGCATGGGCTTTGCCTGCATTATATGTCACACTTATGAGATTAGGGTTCTAGCTGTGAGGGTAAGACCAATAATTTAGTTTTGTTTAAATAACGAGATATATGCTTTATTTCGTAATTGGTTGTTGATATCTTGGGAAGACAGATCAACTAAGGTTGTTATGCGTAGTTTTGTAGACTGGTTTTTTCTTTATTGAACATTAGCATGTAAATATATAGTGATATGGATGAGAATATATTTTTATATATTTCACGCATTTAACACAATTTTAAAACCTGCGGCATCGCGCGGGCTCAATTTCTAATAATTCCTATTGGATAAGAGTTGTTGATTGAGTATACAAACTGAAGAGTTTGTATCTAAAGAGGAAACATGACACGGTCTAACAGAATTATGACACAGAAGAAAAGAAAGAAGTAGCCTTGGAAATAAGAAAAGCAGTCTTGGAATTATTATCATCATCAATTCCGGATGGTGAAGCAGCACTACTAGTACTACTACTACTTGATGAATCTGCAAAACTGTTCCCCACAGACATAGCCCTCACAACCTGCTCGCTCACGCTCGTGCCTCTTTTGCAATAGCTGGCAAAGTCCTCGCAGTTGTTTTTAAGCAAATCGTATTCACCGAAACCCGTCCCATGAGTCCGATCCTTGTCGAAAATCTCTGAGGCACGACGAACCGTTTCGTCTCTCGGATCACAACTCTCAGTGCTGCAAGTCCCCTTGTGTTTGAATTTGAAGCGATCGTGAGACACGTTGTATTCGAATCGAAGAAGGCCGTGACCTTTCAGGAAGCAATCGACGCAGGTTTTCAGCACGCCGCGTGCCGTGTTTGGGTCGTTCTTGCAGTCGCTGCATCGAGGCTCTCTCGTACTTCTTGTTTTTTCCTTTGTTGCAACAAAATGAATAACCCTACCTTCCCCCACGTATATACCTGCATCCGTGCAACCATGCCATAAATATATACACACATATATGCTTAAAGTGGGATTTATGCATATATCTGTAAATTTTTGTTATTTGGATTGAATAAATTAAGCAAATTCAAGGCACATAAATTAACGAGAGCGTGTAAAACGAGAAAAAGAACGCAAAATTTTTATTTTTTTTGTAATTAAATAATCACCATGGTGGGAGTATGCATGCGCTTTTCTATAAGCATATATGTGATCTCCCGGCTGGAGCTCCTCCCTGGAAATCCTGTTTGACAATAGACTCATCTCTCTCTCTCTCTCTCTCTCTCTAGGCTAGCATTCAGCAGTCCAATTATCTTCTGTTAAATTGAAGATCCCCTCACTCAAGTTAACATATATATATGCGCATCGTAGCCACCCACCGCAGTCTTTTTAGAAGAAAAGGAAATGGTTTCATTCTCTCTCAGTGAAGTTTCCCACAACTTGCCACTTCAACCTCGACTTAGCCCTTGTTATTACAAGCAACTCACCCAATACTTGGTCTTCGCTAGACTTTCACACTTGGTTGAAATATTCAACTACGCGTTGTTTGGCAAATTTGGTGTTTGGTGTGATTATGTACAATTTAATCACCCGATCTATAAGGGTAGCTAGCCTGTTTTTATATAGTTTTAATACACTCAAGACCAAAAAAAAGATTGGGCCGAATTTAATTTCAATTCAATTAAGAGAACTAACAGTTAAGTAATAACTGGATTACAGAGTATCCATTGCTTCGAATTCGAATTTGATCTCCTTCCATACTTCACAAGCAGCAGCTTTCGAACTCCATTTACTAGCCTCACGAATAATTTCATTACCCTAAAAAAAATCAACCTTTGACCAACATATTACTTTCTTTTGTGGACTGTAACTGATCCTAACTGTTAAAAATGAATCACACATTGATGAGAAGAGAGACCTTGTTAGGGCTTATAAGTAAGTTGGGCTCATTCCTATATTGCCAATTAATTTTAGGGAGTTTTAACAAAATACTCCCAATACTATTCACTTTTAATGAAAAACCACATTTTTACCTTTAACTGTCACTATTCACTATACCTTTAAAAAGAGCTTTTCATTAAAATAGAAGTTTTTTTGGACTTTTCATTAGTTTTCCTTTAATTTTATGATGGAACCCCAAACCCCAACTTTCTTCAATAACCATAAAGCCTAAATTTTAGACTTAGCAATTTTTTGCACAACCCATTAACACACGACATAACATTGCACGACCCATTAACACTCGACATAGCATAACACGAAAATAACAGACTTTGAGTCAACTCGTTAACGAATCAGGTCGTGATTGGGTCACCCTTTAAGAACTCAATAAAATATTATTTGTCAGACCTAGACATTAGGCATGACAACTTCTTAAATAACTCATTAACCTAACACAAAAGGACACAACCGTTAACAAATCGGGTGGTTATCAGGTCACTTATTAAGAACTAGTTAAGATAACAAATTTGATACAACACGATTTGTTAAGATAACGAGTATAATATGAAAATGATATGAGTTCGGTTTGGGTGCTCCAGGCTAATCAATTTCTTTTTTATGTTTCTCACTCTTCAACTTCTTTTAAACTTAAGATTTTTTTATTGTTGAATGTTAACACATAATGGAAATTTATAATCATGTTGCACATGTGGTAGTCTTATTGAGTATTGGGTCCCACGTATGTTTCAGGATGCGACCTATAAGTTTTAAGAAGAAAAAAGAGTATACAAATGAAATTGAAACACATTTTGAGTTTCAGGACTAAAGTGGTGACTTTTGAGTTATAGAGGCAAAATGAGATCAAAATTAAGTTCCAAATGGCAAAATGAGATCAAAAATTGTCGTAACTAAAAATAAGCCAAGAATAAACAAGCCGTATGATATGCTGGGCCTACAGCGGCCGAGTTGAACTAAGAACGAAGCACAGGGTGGGAGAAGACGAGGCCCAAAACTTCCGACCCAATACGAAAGACACTCGGGTTTTCTCCTATCTATCATAAACCCTAGCTCGCACAGTCGTTGTTGAGGCCGCGCGAGTAGAGGGAGTAAGAGAGCATTTCATCGCGAACTCCGATTTCAGGTTTTCCTCACTTTCCCTTTCCCTCTCTGTTTTTCTGTAGAAATCTTCGATTAATGTTTCTCATTTCATTGTTTTCTTCGTCTCACGTTTTTTGGGTCTCCAAAACCGAAGATTTAGGCGTTTAAATTTGCTTATGCTTAGATTTCTAGGGTTTTATTGCTTCTGATATGGTGTGGATTTTTCTTCATCTTGGTTTTGTATCCTTTTGGTCGCTGAGTTTTTTATCGGATTGGAATAATTATCGTGTGCTGGATTCTGTTTCTGCTAGCAGTGTATTGCGTTTTCTGAACTTTATGATGTTTTTTTTTTTTGAGAAAGATGAACTGTATGATTCGTATTTTTGAGGTTTTTTTATTGCTTGTGATGGATCCAGGGAGATGATTGTCTTTGTGTTTTTCGTTGGATATTCGGTATTTGTTTTGTTATTTGTGCATTTGGAATTCGGTATTTGTTGTGTTATTTGTGCATTTGGAATTTGGAATTCGGTATTTGTTGTGTTATTTGTGCATTTGGAATTCTGAATTATGCTCTGCAGAACCCACTTATCAAATTGTTGTATGATTCGCCGGAAAGTTCCTCTCCGGTGGTTTGAGCAATTAGGTAGTTCTGAACTGAAGTGTTTTCGTCATAGGGTGCTGTAAATTTGAAATCTTTCGCGTTCTTGGTACGATTCGAGTGAGTGAAAGAAGCGTGGAAATTGTACGTCTCGGAGTGTTTGAGGCATCTCGGACAGAAGAGAATATCAGTGTTTTTGCTTGCTTTTATTGGACCGGTTAGATACGAGCCTGACCCAACCAGGTGTCTTGGATCGAGTCCTAAACATATGAATCTTTTAATAAGATGGATCCTTATTTTTTTTTAAAAAGTAGAGATATTTTTTTGACCGTTAGATTTGACTTTAATTAAATTATGTGGCATGTAATTTAATCTCAACCACACAATTTTATTAAAGTCAATCCAACGGTCAAGAATGTGTCCTTATTTTTTTTTTAAATGGGGATCCTCTTGTTAAAGGGCTTGTTCCAACAACATCTAATTTTTTTGTCCAAAAATAAAAGACATATATTGTGATTTGGAATAAAAAAGATTTATTTTGGACATGTGAGGCTTAGCAAACTCCATGGGTTTCAAAAAAAAATTATTGTTTAGATGAGAAAATTTAAGGTTGCTAGAGAATTTGAAATGACATAATTTTTTTTCAAAATTTGTAAATTTTCTTGTGACGAAAAGGACAATGAAATTTAAATATGAAATATAATGTGTATATTGTCATTAATATATAAATGAGGCATTGTAATTAGGAAATGTGTTGGTAGTAGTGGTGGCGGTGATGGTGATGATAGTAGCGACATGGGTATGTGGCAGTGATCATGTTGTGTTTTGGCGGAGAAGACGGCATCGAGTATGAAGATTGTATGGCAATGACATGTGGTGGTGGTGATAGCCACTCATGGTTGTATTTTTTTATTTTTAAATCTCACTCATGAAAATAACAACTATTTATGTCAAGGGTAATGCTAGAAAGACTAAATCTATAAATTTAATCTATCTAGCTCTTATATAAAATTTAAACTTAGAAATTTGAGGTCCCAAATTTCAAGTTTTTATTCACACGAAAAATTCTAAGTCTCTATGTTTATGAATTCAAATGATGCATGTCAATTTATAAATTCTAACTTTTACCAAATTCTAAGTTTGTTTTCTCACATCTAAATATCATAGTGTGTGTTAGTATATATGCAACATTCTTGATCATGATGAAGAATCTGTAAAAATATGAACCGTGAGAAGTTAAAGAACAGAAGGCAGGTTTTTCACTATAATTGCTTGTCCTCAACGTTGTAGGGTGCAATCTATTTGTAATGATTTCCATATTACATCAGGGTTTCAAAAACCCTATTTACAAGTGTACAATTCAAAATTCAAAAGTCAAACAAACCTAACATAATTCCCATTGGATAAGAGTTGTTGACTGAGTATACCTGACACGGTCTAACAGGGAATTGGATCCTCTCCTGAGGAGTTGGATCCTCCTGACCCACTAACATGGGGCATTGAATTTTAATTCAACGGTTACAATTATTAAACTTTTAGAGAGGTACCTGTTTGTAGTTGTTGGATCAAAATCTAACGGTCCGTGTTGTTGGATCAGGAGGATCCTGCTCAGGAGAGGATCCAATTCCGTCTAAACAGAATCAAGACTCGGAAGAAAAGAAAGAAGTAGCCTTGGAAATAAGAAAAGCAGCCTTGGAAGTAGTAGCATCATCAATTCTGGATGGGGAAGCAGCACTACTAGTACTACTACTATTTGTTGAATCTGCAAAACTATTCCCCACAGACCAAACCCTCACAGCCTGCTCGCTCACGCTCGTGCCTCTTTTGCAATAGCTGGCAAAGTCCTCGCAGTTGTTTTTAAGCAAATTGTATTCACCGAAACCCGTCCCATGAGTCGGATCCTTGTCGAAAATCTCTGAGGCACGACGAACAGTTTCGCCTCCCGGATAACAACTCTCAGTGCTGCAAGTCCCCCTGTTTTTGATATTGAAGCGATTGTGAGACACGTTGTATTCGAATCGAAAAAGGCCGTGACCTTTCAGGAAGCAATCGACGCAGGTTTTCACCACTCCGCGTGCCGTGTTTGGGTCGTTCTTGCAGTCGCTGCATCGAGGCTTTCTCTTACTACTTATTTTCCCTTTTCCCTTTGTTTTAACAAAATGAATAACCCTACCTTCCCCCACGTATATACCTGCATGCATGCAACCATGCCATAAATATATATGCACATATATGCTTAAAGTGGGATTTATGCATATATCTGTAAATTTTTGTTATTTGGGTTGAATAAATCAAGCAAATTCAAGGCACATAAATAAATGTGAGCGTGCAAAAAGAGAAAAAGAATGCAAAATTACCATGGTGGGAGTATGTATGCAGTTTTCTATAAGTATAGACGTGATCTCCCGGCTGGAGCTCCTCCTTGGAAATCCTGTTTGACAATAGACTCATCTCTCTCTCTCTCTCTCTCTCTCTCTCTCTCTCTCTCTCTCTCTCTCTCTCGGTTAGCATTCAGCACTCCAATTATCTTCTGCTAAATCGAAGATCCCCTCACTCGAGTTAACTTATATATATGCGCATCGTATCCACCCAGTCCACTGAAGTCTTTTTTAGAAGAAAACGAAATGGTTCATGTCTCTCGCAGTGACCTTCAACCTCGACTTAGCACTAGTTACAAGCAACTCACCCACGACTTGGTCTTCACTAGACTTTCACACTTGGTTGGAATATTCAACTACGCGTTGTTTGCCATCATGTCGGATATTAGTCATTGACACAAATTCGGTGTTTGGTGTTATTAATTTCACTTTGCTTCTTGTAAAAGTCGCAACTTTAGTCTTTGAAACTCAAAATTCACTCCGCTTTGCCCTCTAGAACTCAATTTTAGTCCCATTTTGCCATCTAGAACTTGATTTTCATCCCATTTTGCCCCTGAAACTCGAAAATTGTCTTTATAAAACTCAAAAGTTGCTTCACATTGCCTTAAACCTGTTAATTTCTTATTTGAGTTTGGTTTGGGTGCTCCAGGCTAATCAATTTCTTTTTTATGTTTCTCATCTCTTCAACTTCTTTTAAAATTAAAATTTTCTGATTGTTGAATGTTAACACATAATGGAAATTTATAATCATGTTGCACATGTGGTAGAGTCTTATTGGTTGTTGGGTCCCACATATGTTTCAGGATGCGACCTATAAGTTTTAAGAAGAAAAGAGTCTCCAAATCAAATTGAAACAAATTTTGAGTTTTAAGGACTAAGGTGATGACTTTTGAGTTACTGAGGTAAAATAAGATCAAAATAGAGTTTCAATGGGCGTAGCTAAAAATAAGCCCAGAATAAAAAGCCGTATGATGTGCTGGGCCTACAGGGGCCCAGTTGAAGAAACAAAGGGTGGGGGAAGACGAGGCCCAAAGCTTCCGGCCCAATACGAAAGACACTCGGGTTTTCTGCTATCTATCATAAACCCTAGCTCGCACAGTCGTTGTTAAGACCGCGCGAGTAGAGGGAGTAAGAAAACATTTCATCGCGAACTCAGATTTCAGGTTTTCCTCACTTTCCCTTTCCCTCTCTGTTTGTCCGTAGAAATCTTCGATTAATGTTTCTCATTTCATTGTTTTCTTCGTCTCACTTTTTTTGGGTCTCCAAAACCGAAGATTTAGGCGTTTAAATTTGCTTATGCTTAGATTTCTAGGGTTTTATTGCTTCTGATATGGTGTGGATTTTTCTTCATCTTGGTTTTGTATCCTTTTGGTCGCTGAGTTTTTTTATCGAACTGGAATAATTATCGTATGTTGGACTCTGTTTCTGCTAGCAAATGTATTGCGTTTTCTGAACTGTATGATTATTATTTTTGGGTTTTTTTTATTATTTGTGATGGATCCAGGGAGATGATTGTTTTTGAGTTTTTCGTTCGATATTCGGTATTTGTTGTGTTATTTGTGCATTTGGAATTCTGAATTATGCGATTCGATTACCTCGTAGGTAAGCCATGGTGAAGCACAACAACGTTATCCCGAGCTCTCACTTCAGGAAGCATTGGCAGAACTATGTCAAGACCTGGTTTAACCAACCTGCTAGGAAGACCAGGAGGAGAACTGGTGAGTTAAAGTAGTCGTTTTTATCACCTTTTTTTCTTGTTTCTTAGCTTTACATGCACTCTTTTATGTGTGCCGTACTAAACATTCTCGCTCGTATTATTTCACAAACGATAATTTGTAGTTCGACTGACTCGACTGTTTTGAAATATCATCAGCTCGCCAGAAGAAGGCTGTGAAAATCTTCCCTCGTCCAACCACTGGTCCCCTCCGTCCCATTGTTCACGGACAGACTCTGAAGTATAACATGAAAGTGAGAGCTGGTAGAGGCTTTACTCTTGAAGAATTGAAGGCAAGTTGGGTCGTTTTTCGTCAGTGGTTAAACTTTTTGGAATTAGTGTTATTTACTCATAGATTCTGATTATGGTAGGCGTGTTTTACGTAAATCTTTGACATAGTGCTTCATTTCCTTCATTTATATTTGTGCTTCGGAATTAGAGTTGGAACTCATCCAGCTTGTATTTTATGAGTTTATTGAAGTTGATTACAGGACGAAGCGTTATAATGATAAATAAAATACAGATTGTTATTCAGTTTTGAGCAGTTCGCCAGATTCCATAAAAATATAAACATGGTCTTAAAATTGGAATTGTTGATCAGCTTTATTTTGCTTATGGCTTCCACCCATGCGCTTATATGTGATGATTTTAACAAGTTGTTTACCTTGTTTGCTTACCAGTCTGCTGGAATTCCAAAGAAACTTGCACCTACCATTGGAATTTCTGTTGATCATCGTAGGAAGAATCGTTCTCTGGAGGGTCTTCAAGCTAATGTTCAACGTCTGAAGACATACAAGGCCAAATTAGTGGTCTTCCCAAGACGTGCTAAGCATACCAAGGTGATGTTAAGTGGTTGATGTAGAGTATCTTAAAAAATTTGATTATCTGTGGGCATGGTATCTTATACGTTTTTTTTTTTTTTTTTTTTTGGCTACAGGCTGGTGATTCTTCCGCAGAGGAGCTTGCCAACGCCACCCAGCTCCATGCTCCCTACCTTCCAATTGCACGTGAGAAGCCAACGGTTGAGCTTGTGAAGATTACCGATGAGCTGAAATCATTCAAGGCTTATGACAAACTCCGTGTGGAGAGGATGAACCAACGCCATGTCGGTGCCAGGCTCAAGAAGGCAGCAGAGGCCGAGAAGGAAGAGAAGAAGTAGAGAGAGAGAGCTTGATTTTGGAAGGATTTTTGTTTAGGGTTTGGTCTGTTTACTGCCGGACTTGTTTCATGAACACACCAATTTCAGAGTATGTAAACTTAATTAATCCAAGTTAGCGAGATGCTGCCATGGCTCTTTATTTTTGTATCACTTTGGGTTTTGTGATTTGCAGAATCATATTGTGTTTCATGATGCATTTGATTTCGAATGATGCGGACTCAAGGCTGGTTTGGTATTACTGTGCTTTGAAAAAAAAAGTTGTTTTTGTTGTGATGTGAGAATAAGCAGTTGTGAAATAAAGTAGCAGGGTGTTTGGTAATTTTTTTTTGTAAAAGTGCTTTTGAAAAAAAAGCAATATTATAATGTTTGATAAACTTTTATATAAAATAGATATGAAAAAAGCCGATTTTTCAAAGCTGGGTTTTACAGCTTTGTGTTTTTGGTTTTTTTTCATCCAAAATTGTGAAAAAAAACTGAAGCTGAATGTTTACCAAACACAAAAAAGCAAGCTTTTTTTTTATACCCATTTTTTTTTCAGAATTACATTACCAAACCAGGCCTGAGGTAGAATCGCTTGCAAAGGGTTTACATTCCCTTAACACGCAAGCAAAACCGAATCATCTCAATACCAAAGCAGAGGCATGAGGTAGAATGCTTGCAAAGGGTTTACATTCCCTTTACGCGCGCAAAAACTCAACAGTCTCATTCTGTACAAACTAGAAACGAAAAATGACTTGGATAATTTACTGTAAAAAAAACATAACGCTAGTACAAAAAAAAAAAATGGTTTCCAAGGTTAAGATTGGATCATTTCCTGACCACTTCTCTCTTAACATGGGCTAAGCTTTCAAGACGAGGGAACCATGCCATTAAAATCACGTCCGACGACTGCGAAGTCTACTACCAGACGTGCCAAGAACTCCACAAAAATGTACACCACCTCCTGATGTAATGCTTTCGGCGATGACCAGAGATCAATGCTTCAATGCCTGAAAAAATTCGTCGTTAGCAAGCCTAATTCATAGAAATATGATGTAAAATTAGTTCACCCCTTCTACAATAGTTACGACTGCCAGAAACCTCGGTGAAACGTGGAAAGGAAGAAGATATAGCACGATTTAGTTCGTAGTTGCCATAACACCCTAGTTCCTGATACACCGGCAGTCACAGGACTAACTGTAATGAAATAATCTAGCTTTGATTAGTTTCAACCGCGGAATAGGTTTAACAACGCAGCTCGTAATTTATCGATATTCAGCATGTCTAGATTGTGGGTGTTTGCGCACTGTGGCTACAAGCATGTCAAAAACTTGTCCAGATGTAAACAAATTTGCAGTTCATATCGAAACATTCTAAATATTTTGACTAACAGATGGTAAGGTCCTAAAGGGAAGATCTTCAGACGAAGAAACAAGCTTTAACATTGCATCAACGAAAGCGAGTATTTAGAAGTTATACCTGAGAAGCCATAACCCATGTTCTATCTATCCAATCCTGGCGTGGCCTCAAATCAGAGTGCTGAAGCAGCAGTTCGTCGTCTGTACCTTTGAAGTAAACTTTGTACCTTCGGCCGTGAAGGACCTTGCGTATGACACCTTCCCACCAGCCATCGTTATAGAAAGCATCAACCTCCTCCGTCAGACTGAAACTTCCAGCCACAACAACTTTTGGAGGACGAGGCCTTACGTGCTTTGCGTCGACCTCTTCCGTCAACAACTCTCTGTTATCATCTGTTTTTATTGCCTTGTATCGAACGAGAAACTTGTCCTTTTCCATTACTTTGACAATATTTGCAGCAAACCAAGCACCTTGAAATCCATCTTCGTCAGTGCAAACCTCAACCGCTGTTCCTTCGATCAATTCCTCTTTCGTCGGAATCTCTGGTTCTTTGGCATCTGAGACATCCTGCAGCACATTGGGAAAAAAAGCATGTGCTAGGAAGATGTCACTACAAATTGTACTAGGATTAGGAACATGTCGCTAAAATCATCCTAGATCATTGGAAAAAGAACATAAAAACAAGGATTCTCAAAACTCTAACCGGCAACAATCAAACACCAAGAAGATGTTACTTACGCCTTGTTGAAGAGGTGGGATCCAGGACCCCTTGACCCACTCCCGGTGAAGGCGTAGCTCCTCCGGCTCGAACTCAAACTTCTCCTTGGCGAACCGGAAGTAAACCCCGAACGTGTTGTTGTCCACCAAAACGTCAGTGACCACGACGCCCTCCCACCACCCGCCGCAAAAGAAGGCGTCGACCACGTCGCCTAATTTGAACCGGTAGTCACTCTCTCGAGGCGGCGGCGGACGGAGGAGCACAGCGTCGACCTCTTCCCTCAAGGCTGCATCGCCACCCTTGTGGCCGGCGCCGATCTTGCGATCGATCCGAGCCTTCGCTCTGTTGTATTCGACTTTGAATTTCGATTTGGTTCTCGACTTGGCGACGATTTTCGCCGGGAATGTGGTGCCGCGCATGTTGTGGATTGGGGATGTGACCTCCACCTCGTCGCCTACCTCGAAGTGGGCGTCCGCCATGGCCGTCGCCTGTAAAGCTCTCTGTCTTTGTCTACTGGAGGGCTTTTGGGGCTTTTTGCCTCGAGGGTTTCGAGCCTTCGATCACTGTGGCGGGAGATGAAGTTGATGAAGCGCCAAGACGGGGATTCGTTGGACGAAAATACCCTTACTTCAACCGCTGGAGGGGGCTCGATCTTCGCTAAATTTTTCACTTATTTTTTATATTTTCTTTTGTCCAGTTGTGGGCCGGCGCAGATTAGTTTGGGCTTCGGCAGCCCATTCACCCCGCTTCGAAGGGTGAAACGCTCTAATGAAATATCTTATGTATACTTACTTGAACTTGATCCAAATTGTATGTGAATTTTTCAATTTGTATCAATGATTTAAACTAGACTTAATCATTTCTTGCACGACTCGTTAACTTGACATGGAATGATATAAATATAACATGTTTTGAATCAACATGTTAACTAATTGGGTGACCCGTTAAGATAATGGATCAAAGCGGATCTAGAAAAGAGAGAGTGTTTAAAACCGAGACGCAATGGATTGAAGAAAGAGACCGTAACCACTAGGATAATACACCGGAAAAAATAAAGCTATCAAATGATCAACGTGACATAGAATGCAATGCAACATTTGCAATATGAAACAATAGTTGGACATGGGCACCCAGCTAGTGCCATCAAGTTTTGCACCATACAACCCTACTGCCAAACTAATTGCAGATAAATTCAATCTAAGTGAAGTAACAACTTCTTCTCCCTAGAGCTTTTGCCGCCTTTCCTCGAGTAATTTAGGGCATCTCCAACCGAGGTCGGACCAGAGGGCTTGTTTTAACCCTCTGGTCATACAAGAAATTAATATTTGAATGAACAGTGCATGACCATATTTGCCTCCATCTCCAACCGAGGGCCAAAGGATCATAGTAGGGCTGGGCACGGGCCGGGCCGGGCCCAATTTTGAAGGGACCGGACCGGACCGGGTGTAAAAGAAACGGGCCGGAGCGGGCCGGGTGCAACAAATTTTAAAATAGAAGAAAAAAACTTAGCATGCATCTCTCTAACAAGCTGGGAAATGTACTGATCTGTCGCAGACTCACAGCTACTAAATCCTTTTCAGCTTTCTGCAGAACTTCCTCTTTGTTGTGTTTACTGATTCTGTTCAAGTTCAAATTCCACAGCAACATCATTTCAATGATGATATAAATAAAATTATTATAAAAAAAAAACCAAAATCCAAAATCAAAAACCCAAAAAACAGAAACAAATTTGAAGCAAAAGGTCGCAGCTTTCTTACCTGTGAACCTTAAAGATGACCTTTTTGCTATTAATGGTGATATCGCGACTTGCTTTTACAACCCTTTCCCGCTTGTCATTCTACAAACCTTCGAGTCGCTCACAGAGCTGCAAATTGGTGAAGATTAAATTAGGGATTACGAGATTGTTGAGGTAATCAGAATATTTGGAGAAGGCGTCTTTCATGGAGGAGGTTTCGACGGCGGTGGTGGTGTTCACAAGAGGCCTCGACTCGAGTGGGAGAAGGGAGTGACGACTCTGATATGAGAGAATATGGGGTAGGGGTAGCACCGATGAAGACCGCCGTGGCTTCAACGAGAGGAGGAGTGAGCGGTGGAGTAGGCGCTGAGTCCATCTGGATCCTGGAAAAGTCGAGAGAGGAGGCGAGAGTCAGCGACTAAGAGAAAGAGTGGTAGTAATGAATGGTAGAGATTTAATCTTCGTATATGGACGGTAGAAACTGTCCGGGCCCGGGTACCCGGTTTTTCAGAAATTTAGACCCGCCCCGCCAATTACATGGACCCGCCTCGACCCGCCCCGTTTTGAGTTTACAAAACTTGTACCCGCCCCGAACCGGCTAGACCCGACCCGCCCCGCGGTTCCTAGACCCGTTTGCCCACCCCTAGATCATAGGACTCGTTTTAGCCCTGTCACAAAAAACCGTCTCCAAACGAGGGTCAAAGGGCCATAGGGCCAAACATATTGTTTAATGTTGTTTCATGTTACTTAATTTAATTTAATGTTGTATAATGACTTAGAAAGTTTTAGGAAAAAAATAGAATTTCAAAAAAATATGAAACAAATTTTGTAAAATAGAAGTTATAAGAAAAAAATAGAATGAAGTGAGATAGTATGGAATGGTGAAAATTATGTGAGAAATGGTGTAGGAATGGCTTAGGTATTTATAGAAAAGAAAAGGTTTAAATTTGTTTATACCATATTTAGGGCCTCGTATATTTGGGCCTTGGGCCTTGTATTTAGGCCTCACACTAAAGCCCATACTTTGTAAAAGAGGAGGAGCCCCTTATTCTATAAAAGGGGACTCCTACCCTCATTCTAAGGGAGGAAAAAGAGCCAAGCCTAAGAAGGCTAAGAGAAGCTATCATTACATTCAGGAGAGACCTCACACCACCGAGGCTCTCCTCTCCCTTCTCTTCTTTCTCCTCCGGGGGACTTCCCCCAAACACTTGTATCCATACAATTACAGAGAAACAGAATCAACTACAGTGTGGACGTAGCCCAAACATTGGGGTGAACCACGATAAAATCCTTGTGTTATTTACATTACATGCAGATCCACGGTCGGATTTACGTTGTTCCAAGACCATCCGGTTTTGTGCATCAACATTTGGCGCCGTCTGTGGGAAACGACACAAAAAGTTATGTCGGTTCTCCCT